CGACTGGTTGTTTCGAGCAAATGCAATTTCCGAGAACTCGCGGCGAATTATTCTTCCTTCGCGCAGACCTGAGGTCTGTACAGGTGGACGGTCTTCGTGCGGCGCCACAATGGGGCGACTATCCGTTATGTGCGCGGCGGTGGTGGTGAAGGCTACATTCGCGGGCGCGACAGTCTATCGAAGAACCTTGGTAATGACGCGTGTATAGTCCACACTATTGAAAGCTGTAAGTAATAATTATTCCTTTGTCGTTGCGAGACTGGCAGGATTCGCTCCGGGATTCCAAACCGATCCAGAACATTCTTTGAACTATCGAGTGCGAACCGTTGGAGTGCGGAGACTCGCGGCGACGGCACGCATTCCGCACGCCTAACGAGATTGTTGCAACACAGCGAAGCTGCAAAACTTCAAGATGAAGCGATTAAGCCGGCGAAGTGGAATCTCAAACGGAACCCCCGTCTCTCTCTCTCTCTCTCTCTTTCTGCATACCAGCTAGTATTCTCGAAATAGTTTCTGTATCGCGTAAATAAATATCGTGAGTGTGTTTGTTTCAGTCAAGGAGGTCTACTGATGCATTGACCGCATGCTTCGGACAACGTGCCTCATTTGCCAGAAATAAGTTTTGTATTCTTGAAACACTCGTGTGCACTGCTACTCTCCACTCCATCACGAAAGCTACTTCTTGCGCCGATGTTATTTGCTACCCGCCCTGCACGCTCGAGTGGGACTCAAATCGCTGGATTTAAATCACTCGATCGATTTTGCCTTTTCGAAGGATCGCGATTTATCGTATCTCAGAGCCCCACTTGTCGTGCGACTTTCTTCTCGCTTCTTCGTGCCTCGAATTTCAGCGTTGATTTGTTTTCTACGATTCCGATATGTAACAACTACAATGCGCAAGTTATTCAGTGGCATCTGGCAGAAGAGGGGTGGTAATAGATATTAATATATAAAATAATTCTTGACTCGACAGGATAACGCGCACTCGGCTGCAACGGCCGCTTGTTAAACGCATCCTGCGATCTGGAGATACGGGGGGCTACCACGCGCGATACCCGTTGCGTGAAATTTATTTATAGAAATTTGGGTGCGGAACTAACCCCACCCCAGATGACAATCGGGGGAAACACGCGTACTTGAATCTGGAAGCGATCGAGCGTTGCCGAACATCCTCCCATAAAAGGGGGAAACGCCAGTTCCGTCTTCGACCTAATCTTCAATTACCTAACAGCGTTTCTGCGCGATATCACCTCTCCGGAATAAAATTCTTTAAGGAATACTTCACAAGCTCGTTTATCCCCATCCCTTTAACCTTCGGTAACGACCGTTATCGTAAATAATTAATATAAATTGTCTGTAAATTTTAACATACAAAATATGCCATGAATAATATTCAGTAAAGTTAACATCCATAATATGTTAATTGACGCTGAAATATAAGATATGTTATTTTACACACGATAATTGATTCAACACAAAATATTGAAATATTATTAATACAATATATTAAATTAACACACGGTTGTATTAAAAATTTAACGGGAAGATTTTAAGACAAGTAGAATATTCAATAAATTGTGAAGATATCAGACACGTGACAGAGATTAGAAATTAGAAATGCGATAGATAAATCGTTTGCAGCCTGCCTAACGGTCACTAATGGGATTATCACGGCAGATATAACGTTTATTAATAACACTGTGTTTGGAGCGACAGCTCGAAGGGCCACCGGCGTCGTACGCATACTCGTATCACACGTGCGTGCGTGCGTACGTGCATGCGTGCTTGCGTACTCGAGTGCTTGAATACTCGTGCAGCAACGAACGGCCGCGCCACGCGACTCCACTTGAGAGAGAGAGAGAGTATTCGAGTTCCAAATATAGCAACGTACGTATACACGCATACATTCAACATACGCACACGCATGAAACGCACCACATGCACATCACGACAAGCCTGTACAACGAGAGCGCGAGATTGATGCCTCGGATAATCGGCAGAATTAGGGGATCAGGAAGAGAGGCAGGAGCGAAGATGCAAGTCCATTTCGCTTAATTGCCTGTAAAATCATGCGTATCAATATCGCGAGGCGTCAGGAATTATTACGGGAGAATTCTTCAAGAGTTGTCCCGTAGTTGTTTCCAGAGCGTGTCAAATGATTTGGAATAATCGCAAAATATGGTAGACGAGTATTCTCGAACTGCAAAAATTACGTATAATATATATATTAAAAATTGGTAAAAGTATTATTTTATTTAAGAAGCTAAAAACAGATAATTTCGTTTACTTCATCCTAGTTCTAATAAACGAGATCATTTCTTCCATGTTACACAGATTTAAAAATTTATAAACATTACTTGACATCGCGGGATTCTTTCAAAATAAATCGACGCAATATTAATCAAGCTAACAGAACTGCCGATCGGTCGGCTGTAACGGTACGAAGTTGATTAATTGAGCAATGAGGTACGGAGGGTTGCGGAGTGTTGAAATTAATCGCCGCTGGTTATACGCCTCGCGTCAATTGCTGCTATAAGATAAGACTATACAAGAGCAACGTCTGGCTTGTACCAGCCGGTACAAGAGCTTAGGTACTAATGGTACTGGCAATCACAAAGCTATTAACTTGTATCTCCGATATTCGTGGAACCCGTCGAAATTAATAGGAGAGTACACTTTCGAGTATCTCCAAACCGCCCCGAGTGAGATCCACGCACGCGATGCTCCGTTTTCAAACTCGTGTATGCCTCTGCTGCAAAATTACGAACTATGTAATTCGCGTCTTCCCCTTGTGTTGCGTATTGTCCCTCCGACTTGGCGACTGCGACTTTAACCATCAATTACGCAAACTATGTAAAGGAGGACGTAGAGATGTTTCTCTTTTCGATGCCGTCTACCGACATGTATTACCCTCTCATGAGTAATTCATGGAAAAGAGGGAAATATGCGATATCGGTAACGGGAAATTGCCCCGGCGAAGGAAATATCGCGAAAAAAAGTACACGAAATAATTGTGATGTGGTTTTATTTTTCTCGTGGATCTCAACATCTACCCTCGGAAGTGGCAGACAACAACAAATTGTTCTTTCCTCGAGAACGATCTTTCGCAGGACCACGGATTTCCCAGCTGATTCTCACGCTTGTTCATCTCTCGGAGTAAAACCGCCTTTTCTCACATCGTGAAACAAATCTGATAAAAAGAGCCGAGGGTCTCAGAGTTACGCAAATTTCGTTGCGCAAACTACGAGTCAGGTTGTTGTAGAAATCGACAATTTCATGTGGAAACTTGAATTGGCAAATTTGGTCGACAATAAGAAAAGTTATTAAAACTGAAACGTAGTTGTATGTACAATACAGATGTTCTCTCAATTAACAAAAGGTTGAACTAATTATGCGAGTAATTCTACACTTCGGGAGCTTACGTAAAATCGGACGATACATACGTCTAATAATGCTACTCGGATCAGCGTTATGATTGTCCCATTGAACTCAATTTTGAACATCATTAAACGTCAAGTTACGTCGAAAGAAAGAGTGCCATATATGCAGGGAATTGTTCTCGAAGATCCCTCACTGGGTTCGTATACTATCCAGTTAAAAAAGATATCTGATCAAACTGTTCGTTTACCGCTGCCATTTATAAATATCGGCTTCGGTAATATATCCGCACGACACGAGTCTAGAAATTACACCATTGACATATTGTTCAACAAAAATGTCCCGCCTATACATTCAACTCTGAAAGCTGAGCTTCAGCTCGAGTTGTCTCGAAGTTGTTCTCTTTTCATAAAGCGGAGCGCATCTTATCCACACATGGTGCTGCAGGCTACCCTCGCGGACATGTGGACGTAGTTTCTCATCCGCGTGGTCTCCACGACGGTGGATTCCGGGCGACGACGACGGCGCGATGACTTTCCCGAGCACAGCTGGCGGGGCCGAAGAGCCCAACGGCGCGAGTGATCGCCCTCGAGTCGCGTTCAAGTCCAAGGTTTCGAGACGCGCAGGAGTGGCGCTACTCTAAAAATAATAATCTGTCGTCTGAGAGAGAAAGTCCGGGCTGCAGCGAGCGAGAAGAGGTCTGGAGGCGAACTTACGTACAGACATACGGGCGCACGTCTGGCAACGACGACACGCGTCGTCATCCGGTCCCTGTCGTCTCTTTGTCCCGAGCTCGACCTTGATTTCACCGTGTGCGCTCCTCGTCGTCGCGCACCTTGACTCGCGCGCGCAGAAACCCTGACTTTGAAGCTCTCCCGCGCGAGGTGAACGCGCGCTTCTCCGAGTTGAAAATCCCCGTGCTTGTTTGAGGATTCAGCTTGTTACGCTTGTTTCACTCCAAGTGCAGGACGTGTACAAAGAGCGTGTTGGTGAGAGGAGCGACGCAATTGTCGTCGGAACGATCGGTCCAATCCTCTCAGCTTTCTACATCGATTTCCTCCCCCCTTCTGACTTTGGTCTTGGGCGGAAAGCGTCGTAAAATCAGGCGCTGATTGGGGAAAGGATCTTCAACTTGATAATAATAATATCGGCGTGTCGAAGCCCGAAATAGGCGCGCATCCAGACTGTATCCAGCGCTACTCCAGTTATCTACTTTATGGTTCTACGTCACTTTGTAACTGATGGATATGTTATATATTATACTATATATATGACGTAATCATTGTGCCGAGTCGAATGCTCGAGATTCGTGCGCGTAAGATATATCCCGGAACGGCTGTCATTTTCTTAATCCATTCTTTACTATTAATGTCTGTTAATAAAGTCGCGTCCCATAATATATCCGACATTGGGATTTTATCGCTGCACACGCGGTAATAAAATTCTGACTGGTATTACGCATAAATGTTCCGGTTGCGTACCAGAATATTTGATTGTAATAACCGGAGAAATTCTGTTTTGTTTCGCGAAAACAGTATTTAATTGAGCATGTCTCATTAATTCAAGCGTGCTTGTTTTCCCTCGTACGGCAGCGTGTAGCGTTAATTTGATCGTTTTTCCAGGACGACGAGACGAAGCCGACGGAGGCCACCGACGCGGAATCAGCTCCGGTGGTGACGAAGGAGAAGGAGCAGGATAACGCTCCGTCCGCGGAGAAGCTCACCACACCCGCGAAGGAATCTAAAGAGAAGGAGGGGCGAAAGGGCATCTTCAACGCTATACGTATACCCTTGGTGTCGTCCGTGTTCTCTAAGAAGAGGAAGGTAACTGTCGGAAACGTTCCCGTCGGACCCGAGTGGAAATTTTGATGCCGCTCGGATGTTTTTAAAGATAGTTTGCGCTTATTTGGACAGCTTGCGCACAGAAAAAAGTATCATTTTTTTCCAATTAATCAGCTTACTGCTCTTCTTAGAGAAGAACTTAGACTCGTGGAAAGTATCATGCCACAAGCGTTTCTCGCTTCACACGCAAAATGACATTAGAAATCTTCCGGGAGCAATGATAATTCGTTCTTATCGAAACGTTCGAAAGCGTCGGGCGAACTCTCCTTAATGATATTCGGAATCGAGCCGCGGCGAGCCGAGCGTTTTAGTTGCGGTTTAAAAAACGGTAAAATTGCGCCGAGTAAAAATGATCGACCGTAGTCCCCCATTCCGGGAGAAATTCACTCTCGCACTTGGCTTTAATTTATCTAAACTGCGAGGATATAAGCCGTCTCGGCGATTTCACCGTTTTTGCGGTGCCTCGAGCGGCCGGAATAACGACGACGTGAAGGAAGACGTATATATTTTTAGATCGTCCGCGACACGCGACAGAAGATCTCTCTCTCTCTCTCTCTCTCTCTCAGAATCGAATATTGAGGATACATCTGCGATACGTGAAGTGATTCGTGTTGAATCGTCTCGCGTTCGAGACGGAAGTCGGCGTAATTCTCTTCAAATTTCGAGCCATCGGGAGCTTGCTCCGTCCGCAGTCCGTCGTCATCACATGTATCGTCCTCTTCTTCCTTCCCTTTTTTTTTATCTCTTCATATCTTCCCTTCTGTTCCAGTCCTGTTGTGAGATATTACACGTTCGCCCAGGCCTGTGTGTTCTCCTCTGTGCGTTACGGAACGCACACGAGGCTCTCGTCGAGATAGCGCGGGGCCAAGCTATAAAAAGCGAAAGAGGAGCCGTGACTTTTTTTATAAAGGAACCTCCGTTCTATCGTTTCCTATGAATCGGTCCATTATCGCGCCGAACGTCTCGCCGGTAAAGCTTCTTTTCGCGGGATGTCGCGCGGCGATGAGAGAGTAACAAATTAAATCGTTATTCTCACTACAAGTTATAGCCATGTGTAACGCCGACTGTATTTTTCTTGTCATTCTAACAATAAAGTAATAATAGCAATATGCGTGTAAAGTTGTTATCGATAACGCTACGGCACTTACTACGGGAGAGAAAGAAGGGTAGGGGGGGGNNNNGGGGGGGGGGGGGGGGGGGGTAGGTTTCCTGACTACAATTATTTCGCTGTGCAATTATAATCTAACGAACACTTTTTCCTCGTGGTAGGAGAAAACGCGACGAAAAAGCTGGAATGAAGTATTTCCACGAGATCTCGTCTCTTGATTGCGACGTAGAAGAGATAATCCGTAATACTCGCAATTGCGCGATTATCGGAGGCCTGATCGTAGATGAAATCTCGCGGAATGATCGCATTCCGTCGAAGGGCACGTAGTACGATATCCACGTGCAGAACGCAGCCGATGGCATGCTTACTCCGTACGGTACCTCTCACATCCACTATCCGGATGTAAATTATACCTGTGCGAGCTTGCTCGTTTTTCCCCGGCTTCTCGTTCCGCGCCCATCGTCTCTTCTACGCGTATATATATATATATATATATATATTTATATATACCGGCTTTAATTTTAATTGCTCCTTAATCTCTCACGGAATATATCGTTACACCGACCGTTCTTTCCGATACATGCAGAAGATTTTTCTCGAAGATCTAAATGTTCCTTAACCGTAAAATTACCGCAGTAATCTTGCCCGGCTAGGATATGCTTATCGCATAACGTTGAAACAATTTCAAGACGATATGGAGAATCTCGGAGAGCAACGCGAAAATCAATCTATTTTCGATACCTTTACAACAAGAATATTTGTTCGCATAAAAACACCTATTTTCGACACTTCAAAGTATCCCCCTTTTAGTGGTGATTCGCCTTGCGTTATTCGACAAAAATTTTCCGCGTAAATACAAATCACTTCTCGCTGCAGCGATCCCTTAATCTAGAGATTACACTTATGTGAAATAAACGAGAACGGTTTCACGATGGAGTCGTGATTGAACCGAGATTAATAATCGGCCCCGGTTCCTTTAATCCGTGCCGTTATAACTGACTCTCCTCTTTCAGGAAGCCGATTCCGAGTTGGGGCAGACCGGCGCCGCTGGATTAGCGAGTGTCGAGACGCTCGACGATGCCGCCAATGAGAGAAATCCCATAGCCTGCGACGACGGCATGGAAACGGTGCGACTCGACATAGAAGGTGCCGATGGCGCCGAACCTCCCCCCCAGCATCCTTTGGTTGCCTTCGTGTCCGCGGTCAAGCGAAACCGACCTTACTTAGGTACGAGCGTGCAGGCATGATCGTGATATTCAATGTATATATACGTTTATTCCCTCATGGCGTTTATTCGGTACGCGGAGAACTCTGTCCCAACTGGAACGCGTGAGCGCCGCTCGTTGCGGTTCTCCAGTTACGAATTCGGACCCGAGAGAGAAAGCCACTCGCGATATCTCAGTCTCTTTTCCAAATATTGCGACCCGATTTTTCTGCAGACTTGTTATCGGCTATTGGAGACCGGACGACGCGTTATGAGAAAAGATCGCTGGGAATAAATCGAGTTTTATTCAACACGACTCGATCGCAGTTTGCGCAGCAAAATTTACGCCGAGACTCGATTAGTTTCGTCTGGTATTTTCTTCCGGCGCCGTCCATCGCGATTTTTCTTCCACCGGCGGCCTCGGCTCGCCATTGTCCGGCGCGTTTCGGTGTTAGAACAGAGTTTATCTGGCAATTTAAACTCACGCGATACGAGGCACGATCTGCCACGTGTTAACGCGACGACGTTTGCTTTGGCCAAAGTTGCGGGGATCATAATCCTGCTCATCGTCATCACCTGCATCGTCTGCGTCCTGCCGAAGGAGGCTCGTCCTCAGCAACCGCTGACGAACGGCAAGTACATCGACGCGGTGACGTGGTGCGGACCGGTGCAGGGTGTCCTGGAGGACGGTGGCTTCGCGTTCCGCGGGATCCCGTACGCGTTGCCGCCGATCAACAACCGCCGGTGGCAGCTGGCCGAGCCGGTGCGCCGGCTCGAGCACTGCTGGAACGGCACTCGCTTGGCACACGAGCCCTCCGAGGTGTGTTGGCAACGCCAGTCCTCCGGCCTGGTAACCGGCACCGAGGACTGTCTCTACCTCGACGTGTACACACCGGCGGTCCGTTACGACTCCCCGTTGCCTGTGGTGGTCATGATCGGTGCGGAGACCCTGAGCGGCGGCTCGCCCGGAATAATGCAGCCCTCGGCGAAGCTGTCGCGCGTGCGTGACATCGTGTTCGTGCGGCCGAACTTCCGGTACGTTCGCTCTCTTGCCTTTCACACGCTTTGATCTGTCCCGTTCGGATCTCTTTTTGAACGAGACGCGCGCAGTGGACGCGGATTCATACAGGATTTGCCCTGGAGAATCGCCGGAGGGCACCACCCCGGGAGAGACTCTGCCAGCATCGGACGGGGCAATTTTTATCTGCGATTTTAACTTTATACTCTTTTCATGCTGTGTCAACTGCAAGAATAGTGACAGCAATATGTACGTAAGGTTTCTCACTGACAGTATAATAGCATTTGTTAAAAAAACAAAATGCTTCTCCTGATTGTAATAATTCTTTCACTGCGGTTTATAATTAAGCGGCATTACAGTTGCAAGAATATTTGTCTCTCAACGGAGGAGGAGATTCACCGAAACTTGTGTTGTGTCTTCGTTAGGATGGGAATCTTCGGATTTTTGGCGGCCGGGCCTCTCTCCAGAGCGTCTTACCCGCCGACCTCGGGTAACTACGGACTGTCGGACATCATAGCGGCCCTTCAGTGGGTGCAGTTGAACATCGAGAACTTCGGCGGCAACAAGTCGGCGGTGACGCTGTGGGGCCACAGAGCGGGCGGCACCCTCGTGACGACGCTGGTCGGCGCTCGTCGCTCCAAGGGTCTCTTCTCGAGGGCGTGGATCTCCAGCGGCAGCGCGATCTTCCCGGGCAAGGAGCTGGAGAGGTCCGAGAACATCACTAAACCGTTCCTGAGCGCGCTCCGATGCGCAGACGCCACTTGCATGAGAAGCAAGACGGCCGAGGAGGTGATGGACGCCGTGCCGGAGACGTGGTACACGAATACCGTCGGTCTGCCGGGCACGAAGGAGGTCAGCGAGAGAGTAAACCGTCACGAATGGCTCATCCTGGACGGCATAATTCTCCAGGAACACGTCGGCCAGATCTGGGCGAGGGAAAACAATCTGGTAAAGATGGTGATAGGGACCACCGCGCACGCGGGCGCGCCCCAGCAATACATGCAGCCCAACGTTACTCTCGGCGCGTCGCAGGTCGAGAAAATCATACGGGAATCCCTGCTCGGCACCAGCGGCGTGGCCGCCGAAGCCCTCAAGTGAGTGAGATGATATTTGTTAAGTTTTTCATAAGCAATTTTTGGCGAATGTTATACTCCACGCGAGACAACGAACATCGGCCTCACAGTGCCGTTATTTTTCAGACTTTACGACACCACGCTGAAGGGACTGGTCACTATGATCTCGGACATCCGCGTGGTGTGCCCGCTGTTCACCATCGCCAGGATGAAGACCAACATACCGTTTTACGTGGCCACTCAGCCGCGCAACAGACACCTGGCCGACGCCGATAGCGACGCCGCTGCCATTTTGGGCACTTACGCAGCCATTACGCCCGAGGAGAAGAGACACGTGTCGGCTATGCAACAATTGTTTAATTATTACGTATGGCATAACGAAGTGCCGCAGGCCGATCGGTCGGGCGCGAATCGAGTCCTGGTGGTCGGCCAGGACACTCTGCCGGCGAGCAATTATTCACACTGCGACTTCTGGATAAAGTCGGACATCGTACCTATGTATGGTCGGGTCGACTAAGAGCGACCCCACGTCTCGTTGCTGTGCTCTCGTTGCTGGTAGGATTCCGCGTTCAGGCTCGATCCGAGACACAATCCCGGAGAAGACACCACGCTCCGGGCTGTAACGCGGTCCGTTGCCCGTTTGAATCTCCGTGGTACGGGAATTTCCACGGCACAGGTATGTACTTCGACTACTTAAGTAGAATCGATAATCGACGAGTGTTCTCTACGAGATATACACCCTGTTGAGAAAAGGGCAGGTGGGAATCCATGTAAAAAATCCATATGTGGAAGGAATCCTGTGAATTCCTACACTGAGAAGCTCATTCGGTTGACTTAAACTAAATTCTCGTTTGGATATGGTTTCAAATAAATATTTTGTAGCCCTCTCCAAAATTCTCAATATTTTTTTTTAATTAGCTAATGAGCGAGAGAGAGAGAGAGAGAGAGGGGCACACGGAATGAAATTACATTCAAAAATGTTAATTTAATTAATAAAATAAATATCGTTTTAACATCAAGATGAAATAATTGTATGATGAAATTGTTTTGACGAATGAAAGAAAATAACAATTTCTAAGACTCTTCAAATTTCCCTTCTTGGCTCTCACAAGCAAAGCATTCATTTGCTTATATCCAAATAAGAATTTAGTTTAAGTCGACTAAAGGAGTTTTTCGGTATGTGTATGGATATTTAAATTCCTACATGGATTCCCATGGGTTCCCACGGGAAGCCTACTAGTTCTTTTCAACAGGATATTGCACACGGCTTGCGGCGAATAAATGATCATGCCTTTGTGGTGCGACGTATGTAGTAGTACCTGTCGAATCATGACAATTAATTAACGATTAAAGCCAAAATATAAAGTAGCGGGACTAAAGGAAAGAGAGGAATTTATATAGAAAGATGTAGGCGCGCGACGCACACACGCACGTGTTGTGCGCATGTGAGTGTGTGTGTGTGTGTGATGCACGCCGATACATATGGATTTGTCCTCAACTGCTGAAGGATATTTTACCGAGTGTTCTAGCAAGCGAGAAGAAGCGAACATTATACTTTGTATATCCGCGAACCGCGATAAACACGCGTCCGACCACAAGGCACGTGGATTATTATGTATGTGTGTATAAAGTGCGAATCAAATTGTAATATATTGCATAAGAGAGCGGAAGCGGTGACACGCATGGGGAGATACGGAAACGAAGCGTAGCTTAGGGAGGAAGGAGGATCGACAGTTGATGACAGCGTACACATTATGCAATTATACATATAATTGTATAATATATACATATATACATATATTATTGTAAGATACGTATATATATATATGAGCAATGGGTGCGGACAGGGTAAAAGGAATAGAACGACATCGGCCTTCTGGGATTTCGAGATCGATCGCGTGTCTCACGGCCGAAGATCTTTCAATCGGAGAATCCCACGTTTATCTCGATAAAACAAGAAAAATTTGGTTTTTAACGCGCGTTTTACGCGCCCCGGTGAAAAAATGTCTTGGAATTTTTCATGTTATTTCTCAAAATTTCTATGAAAATCTTAAGACTTTCTCATGAATGTTTCAGATTTTTTATACGAATTGGGACGTTTTTTCTTTCTTTTTTTTCAGAAAAACAAAAAATAGAAAAATTCTGGATATTTTCGAGTATTTTCTTGATATTTCCTCCGAACACTTCCGGTTCAAAATTTCTTATTAAATCTAAAATGTTTACATAATATTTGAAATTAATCAATTATAATATGTTGTTAAAATATCTCATTTTTCCCATACAGGAATTTTCGCCATACAGATACTGAAATATTCTGAAAATACTCATGTAATTATTTCTGAAATTATCTGAGAAACTTTTCTTTTTTTTCAGAATTTTTCATAAATTTAGAGTATGAGAAATTCTTAGAAGATTTCTGAGAAGATTTGAGACATTTCTTCACCAGGGTAGTTGTAAGATACTCAAATGCCTCGTTCTCCGCAGGCCTCTTCGTATCCAGCTCATAGACGTAAGGTCGTAAAATAACGTATAACTCAGAATATACATCGTTAGTAGTAGACTGTCAGCGTGTTAGCCGAACAAGAATGGAATAGCCGTTTTAACAATGGATACAATGGACCATGCTCCTTTGCACGCTGCGGAAAACACTAATTAAATCGGAAAGATATATCTCGGACGGAGTTGGGTATTATCCGATTTTATTAAAATAATTCGAGTACATTTGTCCTCGAATGAGAATTTCTACTCGAACAAATTCAACTTGACGAATAAAAGAAAATGTTATTCGTGAATAAGGATTAATTTTTTTTTCCCGAATAAAGAAATTATTCGTTATTCGCAGATACATTTTCGAGTGTTGCTCGATAATAAGATTTACCCAACTATAGTCTGGGAAAAATGGGACGTATGCGTTGCATCGCGTTTGTGGAAGCAAACTCCTCCCTTCTCTCTCTTTCCCTCCTTTCTCTTAATATAACTTTTTTTACAACTGATTTTTTTGTATGGAACATTTTATCGATATTTTTTTTATATACGTATATAATTTAATTAATAAGACGGTCTTCTTCTTTCTACGCGAGAGAACTGCAGACTGAACGGACATATACGAGCAATATTTTACCTATCCAATGAAGAGAAAAATCTTGGAAAAGATTTTGAAACTTAATCAGACTGAGAAGCTGCCAAATTTGGTATTTTTATACCGAGCGTTATCTACTTAAATAGTGAAGGTCTGACTATCACGTTGATATTCAGACTTCGCGTACGATCAATAGTCCTTCGCGCGCCTCTATCTTCCGTAAACGCGATTCGTGTCCCAGAGACGATAATAATCTTGATTCTTTTATTTATCACTCATACTTTTCCATCGCGACTGTTTTACGTCTACTACATATATGTATGTATGTATGTGCGTGCGTGCGTGCGTGTGTGTGTGTGTGTGTATTATTACGTAATTTAATTTATTTTCATTAATATGTGATAAGTAGTACTTTTACAAGAAAAAACTTGTATGTTGTTTTATTATATATATATTAGCTAGGTCATTTTTCATGTAATTAAGTAATCTTCTCTATCAAACCTGAACGTATACATGCGCGAACAACAGGACAATGGCATCGAGCAGTGACAAATATCCGTAATAATCTGACTGATCACAAGTAGTAGTAGTAGTTAAGAGTACTATTACAGAGTTTCGAGTGTAGCTAAGATATACTATCTTTAACCCGTATGTGGAAGACATTTGAATCTCCTAAGATTATCTCGGCAACGAAACCACATAGTGACGAACGTAATTATATCAAGAAAGAGTCGATATAGTATACACATCGTATTTTATATATATATGAAAGAAAGACACTTCACACACAGGATATATATATATATATATATATATATATATATATATATGATCTGTATAGTTTTATGGATATTTTGGATATTTAAAGCGCTTCTAGTTACGTGATCGCGACTTCATACGCGAAGATTACGAGACGACGTTAGAACACGATGTACGTACGTGTTACACACGCGTACATACGCACGTGTACATCTTCTCGACCAAGCGAAACACGCGAAAAATATACTGTCGGAAACTATATTACGTATTCTTATACCATGACATTACCGCGCACTACTCCGCCTGGACTAGATGTTATGTGCTACACACATGTATAACTGGCTTGTATTCTTGAATGTTTAGCAGTACTAAGACGATTGCATTCCATCGTGCTATACTCTGTTACGCTTCACACGGGCTACGGTACGACACTTTTCACACCGTATAATTTTGCGAGCATAAATTATTCTCAGATTTGGGGATGCCGTTGCGATGTCTCATTATTATTATTATATCATTATTATTATTATTGCTTAAATCCGCTTTAAGAGAACAAGATATATTATTCGTTGTAAGATAATTAAGGGTAATTTCAAAATGGACTTGTATTAATTAAAGTAAGAAACGGCGACCTTAACTTGGCAGCATATCGACCGAACTCTATTCGAGAAGGCGGAATATAAATTCTGCTAATCTATAAAAATGTATGCGCGAATTATAATCACATATAAGAATACATTGCATATTGAATAATACAATTAACAGTTGCAAATAGATTCCCCTCGCTAATTATATATGTCGTCCTCTCGCAGGCTCTCACCGTACTTGCATTACAATGCTGCAATATTTTTACATTACCGTGAACTAATTTTAAGTGTACTTTTATTCTCGTGTCTACACAACCATAACGACCGTATAGTTTCACTTTTATCGTTCCACCGAGAGCCTCGTATTATCGAATGTAGCGTATGTGGCGAATGTTTCAACTCGAACGAATTTCAATTTTATGCGTATTCATGTTCGGCGAGACACGGATATTTGAATACGCATTACATTGCATTTAGAAAAGTTTATTCGAATTCATATGCATTGTCGTCGAGAACCGCCGCCGAGGCTACTTGCATATCTTGGTATTGGTGCAGTGTGCATTTGATATTTCCCGATTATATTTAACTTTCGTTCGTTATTAACCACGCTGTAATACAATTTTATACTGTACTCACGATACCATAAATAAATCAATAAATACCATCAGTGAAGTCGTGCGTGAAACAATTCGGAATGATCGGGCACCGTTCCCCATATTGAAATTTTTAATATACTATAAATTAAATATACTTATATATATATCAACTCAAAACTACAGGTTTACGATATTGAATTCAACAGGTCGAAATTGACTGTATCTATCACATTGTAAGGAAGTGTTTTTTTTTTTCTTTGAAGGCGTATCGTACATTTATTGCGTTACAATTTTACGATGCGCGCATGATAAAATTTGTGCAGGCGAAAATCGACGCAGAACAGAAACGAGAAAGACAGGTTTTTCCTCGAAAAACCATTTTTGTAACATATTTATTTCAAAAACGTCTCAGTATTACATAATGCGCAGCACAAAGAACACATATAAAATTTATCATTATCGCGGAACTGTGACGTCGCTTCGAGATACCAAGAGTATCGAAGTCGTGTGATCGGTGTGGTATAAAACATATAAATTTCATCAATCACACACGATGTCATAAACGTGTTTTTTTTTTCTCTCTCTACTACATGTCTTCGACCAGAGATATCAAGCCATCGGTTTTACAATATATCAATTCTATATATTTATAGATGACTGGAATCTCTCTCTCTCTCTCTCTCTCTCTCTCTCTCTCTCTCTCTCTCTCTCTGCGGAGTGTGAAGAAGATAAAATATGAAAACGCGCGCAGAATAACGCGAAAATGTATACTATGATATGATATCTGTTGTGTGTTACTTTGTCGTTTCTTAAAAGTTATTTAGTCCTTCTGAAATTACGCCTGCATAAAACCGCATAATAAAACTACTAATTTTTCTCAATATCGTAAAAGATAATAATTATAATTTTATTGCAGTTATATAATTCGTACTTTTCCTATCATCCGTTTTTTTTTTCTGAAGTGCGGTAAAATTCTTCGGTTTTAATTTCTGCCATAATTTAGTGCTGTTTTCTCGCGCTAGTAAATAATAAATATTCTCATGGAAAAGCATCGCGCTTTAGTCGAAGAAAGTGGTGTTCCAGACACACGAAATACATCTCGTACTCTTTTACAAATCTAGGAGTGAATTAGCGTTTAAAGGAGAAATACTCGATAACGTTCGGAGATCTTGTATGATTAATAATCATGGATGAAAAAAGAAGAATAACAACAAAGCTTATTCTCTTTCTCTCTCTCCTTCAAACAAGCAATAATGTTACGCATTCCATGGCAGATTGCTTGTTTTCTATAACGTACGTAAGTCTTTTTTGTGTTGCTACTATCATAGGCATTTCTTGAATTTCGTAAGAACAGATTTTTGATCACATGATGATTACATGAATACTATATTATTTTCTATGATAAGAAAAATTATTTACATCGATGTGTGTTCCCATAAACCTATTAATATTGATGGGTGTCATGTTATATATAAAATTTGATATTTTTCTATATCTTCTATAATAAAATTTCATGTAGTAAATTTCTTTCGTTATTGTCGTGCTATTAAATAATGTTTTGCGTCACTGATAAATCGTTCGGTCCGACTTCAAAAAACTAGTATTCTTTTGTACGGACGAATTTCAGACGTGTGTGTGTGTGTGTGTGTGTGTGTGTGTGTGTGTGTGTGTGTGTGTGTGTGTGTGTGTGTTAAGCAACAATACTGCATTTTTTTGGCATTAATAAACTTCAGCATCCAAACAATTTCATAATATATATAACAAAGGCAACGAAAATTATGCCCTCTATAAAATAATAAAATATAAGTGACTAAACAAATGGAAATATAGCTATAAATTGCATAAATAAAAGTAGTGTTATTCGCCGAATGTGTGGACGACATGTAAAAATAGATTATCTTCCAAACGTAAAGAGAATCTTTTAGGCTAATTGTCCACGTTATCCTATCCGAATCTGTAATATGCAGGACAATTCTCATTGTAAACTGAGACAAAAATTCAATATCTAATAATTATTTTCCTTATTAAATAATTATCGCACAGCGTTCGTGTGAAATCACTGAACTTAAGTTACCCTCCATCGGAGTAACCAACTTTTATTCCTGTAAAATCTCTTTACAGAAAAAGAGGAAAAATCGGTGTCGTCGCGTCCGAAGATTTCTAATTCCACTCGCGTTCATAGAATGCGTATAGTAAGAATACTCTGATCACTTAAGCAAGTTAAAGCAGTATGGAGCAATATTTATAATTATTTGCATTATAATAGAAATTTGCTATCGAAAATTAATCATATAAAATCAGTTATAAAATCATACTATACTTTTTAAGTAGCGCGCGTTACTGTGCCTTATGATGAATTACATGTTATTTAAAACTCTAAGTTAGAGACATATGGTGTTTCATGTTTCTGTATTACTGACGAAATCGGTCTCGAGAAGTATTCTCATAGTAACTCGAGAGTAACGGCTTGAATGCGTGTAAGAAAAATTTCTAAGCATCACCTTATCTCGCGCGTTACCCTAGGATCGATAAACGTATTTAATATTAGATACTGATCTTAAAATATGTCGCTTATTTACACATGGCAATATACAACAAAGGCAATCAACGGGAATATATTAGTTGCCGATAAACTATCTGAAAAACAACTAGGTTATGTCGATAACAAGTATAGCAATCATAAGGAGCGTCTGTACTTAAATATTTCGCATAAACTATATTCATCGGGAGGTTAACACAAAGCGCGAAACTTAGTTCTTTCGTACTTTTTCCCTACGATGAGACGCAACTCTGTTTTACGCTACGTTACAAATCGTCGATCACCGTCGGATCATCGTTTCAATACAAACAAGTTACTTTCCAAAATACGAGCAGATGATAAAGTTCTCTCGTCTCATGTAACTCGACCGGAATTAGCGTTACTAAATTATGCGGGCGATATATAAAATGATCGATTTCCCGATATAGAATTTGCAACGTTATTATTGTATCGTTTTACCGTTATCACAGACTGTTTTGGTGGTAGGCCCATTTATATATGCTATATCACGTCCGGCGGGCCTACAATGGACTAGAACATCTTATCAGAATCCGCCAGCGGTTCGCGTCAAAACGTTTAAACCGCCATCACGTTTCTAGCGTCGGGAAGAGTCTCGTTAATACGAAATAGGCCACGTCGTAATTATTCCAGTATGCCGTGTGAGCCGTTACTGTGTACAAATAATTCCTTCCTAAACCGACAGCGCGCAGCACGTAGTCCAGTCGCTGCGTTAATTCTGCGGGAAATGAAAAACTATTAATAATTTATTATTTACGAAACTTCTCTCTCTGTGACCCTTTGTGTGTGTGTGTGTGTGTGTGAAAAAAGAAACAAGATATCGGTATAGTTGCATAATATTCGATATGCGGGTACCTTGCTCTGGACGGATTGGTGGGTTTGAATCTGGCGTCGGCGAAGACGGGCCTTCTTTCACGTTCCAGCCGCCTCGGACTAAATCCCACAGGCTCCAACCCTTCTCCGCGCTCCGGTTCGGCGTACCCACTGGACTGTCGTCCTTATCATCAGTTTCTAACAGTAAACAAAATTATACTTCCTTGTTATATATTATATGAGGAATTGATTTGTGTTAGAAAAAAAAAAAAGATTCCATTAAAAAAAAATTAAGTTTGACCTTGAAATGTCCCTATCCCTTGAAACGTCTCGAACGATAAAACAATCGTTCCCACTATATATGGTGTCCTCTTTTATGCCGAATATGTCGGTATAAACTATTTTTTCATATTTCTTCAAATTTCACTAATAATTAAATCGGTCACTTCACACGAATAATCAGCCCGTACAAATATTCTCATAGAATTAAACCGCAAATATTTTACTTCTATCAGATAATTAACCACTTTTTTGAAAAAAACATTGTGATGTCGTGCAGTGTTATCTTTCTACTTAGACTAATCGTTTGATATTATCTTGTCCGTCCATAAACACGGTTTATTATACGTACGACAACAATAATATGTTATTAGCGATAACCAGGAAATTACGAGGTATCGTCGTGTATATGTCACGTGTCATTGTCATTTTACCCATGACTCATGGGTAAAAAATAATAACCTGTAGGCGGTAGAACTGGATCTCCGTTATTGAAGGACGAGGGGGACCGTTCCATCGACTGCTGCCCGTCGACACCGCCGTACGGAGGTATGAGGACCGGCTCGATCTTACTGTAACCTCTCTCTAAGAGCGGTTCCATCCGGTAAGCCACCGGGTCGGACCAATGAAATATGTTGTAAAATCTCTTGCACAAGCCCTGCGGCATCACGTCCAGCCTGTTGGATGGGGTGCGTGTGCGCAACGCTAAGAATACGGACAGCGGCGAGCCCAGGCAAAACAAATTCTCGATCTGCGGACAGGAAGAAGACGGGTTTTTCACTCGCCCAAACGGATGCAGGATTGGCGTCATGTATGCTCTTCTATTCCCTAGATTGAAACCGTTCACCGTTGCACGGTATTTAACGGTCTCCATGCGGAATTTATTTCAATGTTTTATCCGAAATACTTCACGAGAAAGTTATGTCGGGAGGAAAGGATATCGTGCGGGAGAACTCACGGGAAATTGCAATCCTTGGAGTAAAACTTCCTGCGCCGGGGATGGGAGTCGCGTGTCCGGGCCCATCCAGCCTGTAACTATGTCGTACACAATCACACATCCCAGAGAGTGCGCCAAGATCGACACCTTTCCTTGCCAACCCGGGTGCCGGCTCGCGAACATAAAGTACAGCCTGTTCAGCTCCTTCTGCAGACCGGCTCTGACCTCGGCGCCGTACAGGGGGCTCGTGTAATACAGAATATCCATCGCCGATGCGTTCAGCAAGTGGCGTATACTCAGTACGCTGTAAGGCGTGATCGCGTCCACTATATCTGAAAGAGGGTGTCACACACGTTTTAGATCAATTAACCGTGTAGCATGTCGCTTCCTCCTCTTCTAAGCCGCTGCTGAATGATTCCCCCTCGCTTTACCTCCGTCCAATTTCAACGACGACCGCCACTCAACCGCGAAGAATTCCACCCGGTGCTTCGAATTGGGGAAATATTTCTGCTTGAGCCAGTCCACGCAATCCCTGAAACTGTTATTTCGTGCGTGTTTAACCTTGAACAGTACCTCCTGTGTTATCTACTTACCACGTGGTATTACGTATAATTTTCCCCGTGTCTCGCTTCTGTCCTATCCCGTGGACGACGAACACTAAATGGTCAATGTCACGCGGCTTATTTTCCATATTCGCGCGCGTTTTATATCCCCTTTTTAACCGATAACCCGTCGCTGTAATTATAATGAAAAAAGTGTTAAATAGTGATGCCTTTGTATTTTAAACTTTACGTTATATGCAAAAGTATTGTATGCAAAAATGTCTTTCGCGAGACTGGCGAACTATGAACTGGCGAATATCGAATGAAGGTCATATAAATTTCCACTCACTCTTGGTGAAGCCCAATTTTGACGTAACGCTGCGCATCAGTTTAGTAGGTGTATATTCACTATATAACGTAACATCGTTAATCGTGTGCCAGTCAACGTGAAATTCGGAGAACTGTTCGGTATGTAGAACTGAGAAAGAACCAGAGCACTCTTTAGCACTTGTTACGATTCCATTGCAACTCCGAGAACAAAATGAAGTGAGAGGAAAATACCTTTGTAGGACTGATTATTTGTATCGCACTTAGAACTACTTTGATTGTTGCTTTCCCTTTGGAATAGGTTAAGATGGACCTCCTCTATTACTTTGGAATGTTCCGATTCTAACGGTATCCAGCTACCATCGTAGTACCATGTGGCTCTCATAATTTCCCATTCTTCGCCTTGAACAAACGAATTCACGCAATATATTATAGTTCGTGCAAATTAATTAAATTATGTGCAAAATTACGTACAAAAGATGACCTAATTATAAAGATCAGGGGTCCAATAAATTCCACTCTTATAAAGTTTTTAGCATTCTTGCTCACCAGGTTACAACTTTGTAAGAGTGAAATTCATTTAGATATTAAGTCAATCTTTTGATTTTATGGAGATTTACAAACATTTCGACATAATATTTTACAAATGTCTTTAAATTGTCACTTGATAATATAATATTCCTAAATATTGGAAACAGTGCAGATTATCTTCAATGTTTGGGTCAAATGTTGTTAACAATGACATTAATAACAACATTAAGAACTACATATGTGAAAACGTTACATATTATAAAAATATCGCTGTAATAACGTTATATTGATGATTTCTTGCTTCTATTGGAAAACAATTAATTATAAAATATATTATTGAGAAACTGCAGAAGGTCTGTCAGAAATATATAAATGTTGTCTATATCGCTAGATTATACAACGCTAAAATTGTAATATTCTATAAATAATAAAACGTAAATAATGACAAAGGAACTTTTATTAGGCATTCTTCACGAATTCCTTGTTACAGTGATGGAATCTATTGCCCGTATCATATTTGTTTCACACGCGCTGCGCCTCGTAACAGGCACAACCAATAAGAATTGGCTATAATAAACTCAAGGACAAAATAATCTCTGCGATATAAAGACATATACTGTACACAACAAGGCAAGATGTAGAAATCCAAATAGGAATTGAATCATTATTAAGGCACTCGGATGTATTCATATGAGCTGTTGACCCGCATTAACACTGATTTGAGCAACATTTGCGATCAATAAGTGTACAGCAATACAGGCTACAACTGAAGCTACAATGAAATAGTTCCAAGGATCCAAAGGAAAATTAAGACACGATAAAACACGTTATTGAGAAACTGCAAAAGGTCAATGACTCACCTGGCCAGTATATGGAAACGCACTTCATATTATCGATTTCAACATCGTACATGCCTCCCCTGACTACAATTTTCTCAGCGGGCGGCAGACTGTCCGTCTCAGCATCAATTCTGCCGAGCAAATCCTGACGGTCCTGATAAATCTTCTCGATCCTCAAGCTATCGTATCCGCAAAACTCCACCCATCTTTTGTCGACTCCGTCTTTGTAAAACCATCGTATCTCTTCCGGTGTCAACGGTTCTGCGTAAGCAGCTTCACCCACAGCATTAGTCTCCAAGCCGTTTTTTGGACTTTCATCTATGATTGCTTGACCATTGCCTTGCGTGGAACAAAAAGAAGAGAAATCATTGCACTTTATATTATATTAATAATTATGACGGCTGACGGTAAGTTGTAATGAGCTATAATAGTAATGAACAACCACTAACACACATGTTCTCCGATATTAGTCATGCGTATTGAACCTTGTACCCTGAATAAATATGGTATCAACGATAAAAAGGCGATTTCAGATAATAAGATAAAAACCCTTAAGCGCGTGAGGAAAGTTTCACAAGGAAAGTCTACCACGTATCTCATACATCTCGTATGTGTGCGAGAAAGTCTAATACACGTAACCGAACACAATATCCACGTACGTGGACGAAATTTGAGACCGGAGACTCTCCTGAGGTGACTTTACACGGAGAAGAACCGGGTGCTTAAATTGATCAAAGCGACGAGGAGATACGGATTAGAATATAAGTTCTACCGAATCTGATCAACAAGAGAGAAGGGGGGGGGGGNCCCACGCATTCGGCCGACTGACGATGGATATCACGACGATATCACACCTCTCGAGGATGATTTGAAACATTCCACGGGCAGTCGCGAGAAACAGGGCCCGATGACAACCTGTGGTAGCGAACGCCGCATCGAGCGACGTCTCTTTGTCGGCGCGCGATAACGACTTCGCAAATTTACTCAGGCCGCACCAAATGCAGAGAGCGACGTGAGAGATCCCTTCCTCCAGTCTCGTACCTTCGCAGGGCTCAAGCTCCATGGGCGTCTCGCTGAACGGGTCGACCTCGCTCCGGCCGTTGGACATCTCGCCGGAGTGCCTCTGGAAACGAGAGAAACTCTCTCGAGTGTCGAATACTTGTGCCAACCGGAGCTCACCTCCTCGGCGGCCGAGTTCAGTGCGGACAAATCGAGTTCCGGCTGGATCGAATGAATAATCCGACAGTGCCAAGAAAGAAAGAGCACTGAATCACCAGGCTGCCAGTGTCTGCCCGCCGTTATCGCGAAGCTGTCACCTTTCGCGCGTGGAGTCACGCGCGTGTGACAGAACAAGTGTATGCACAGTGCGTGGGCTACTGCTACGCGTGTGAGAGAGAGAGAGAGAGAGGAGGAAAAGCCGTCGTCGTCCGTCTCACTACGCCCTCACGAAACCACCACTTTCCGTAAATAATAGCTTTCGCGCTCAATTCCGGCCGACTTGTCGTCCTTGAAACGGCGGAGATCGCGTTGCACGAGATGCTCTATCGGCGAGAGCGCGAGCTACCTCTTCCACCTACAGCGACCGACCGACCGACCGACGGCGACTGACGGCGATTGCGCTCTGTCTGTGAGATGTAACGTCCACGCCGCCGCGTCTCTCTCTCTCTCTCTCTATTTATCTCACTCCGCGTTGACACCGTCGTATTGTTAACCGCCGTTCATCGTACGCGACTCGTGAGCAGCGCGCGCGAGACCGTTGATTCGCTGGCTCGATCGCTCGCTTTACGTAACGCTAACCGCGATTTTCGGCCGTTCGCCGCCTTTTCGCAGGCCAACCAGCTGATGCATGAAAGCGCGCATTGCGTGCCGCTGCTGCCGCGCAGCGACACGACGCGCATACCCGTGTCCCCCCTTCCTATGCGGCAGCGAAGTTGGTGTCCGTTGCTGCACCACGGGCGAGCGCTCCACACGCGTCAATGACAATCGCCCACGGCTACAGATGCGGGGGGGAGAAATGAATCAGAGACGGTTTTGAATGGCGCTTTTGAATAAGCGAGGTTCTCTCAACAAGGAGCACGGCCGGTCTCTCTCTCTCTCTCTCTCTCGTGGAAGTTAACGCGCGAGGACTTGCTTTGTATTTTCCGTCATTTTTTCTCTGATGATGCATGGTGCTTCGGCGAACGTATCACTCTCAGTGCATTTCGAAATTCGACCGTCCTTAAATAATCGATGCGCATTTGGTTATTTTCGTTGGTCACGCCGCCACGCCGCGGCAACGCGTCGCACGTGTTTCGATAGCGCGAGCGTTGTCCGAATTGTCGTGGGATCGTTGTGGACTTTTTTCTTCAGCATCTTCGTCGCAGACTGAATGGCTCCTCGGTATCCGGGGGGGGGGGGGGGCTATCTTGAAACAAAGGNCGCCACGCGTGCCGCAGATTCAATCACGTATTAACTAGAAACTTGAAAAGTGAGTTATCATTTTCTTATCATTTTGACGTTTTCGTTTCTCGTTTTATTCGTGGAACACATGTTCATGTAAACGAAGGTTGACTAGTCGAAAAGCGGGAAAAGTTACTAAATTACTAAACTTCTCTCATGCAACTTTTTTCCATGCAAAAGGACTTTTAATTCCAGCCGGTAAGGACCCAAGCAGCACGTAAGCGTTCGAGGAACGTTCGCTTTACGTTCATCTGGTTTGGTAAATTTAATTTAAAAAATATATTAATTGCTAAAAGATATTAATATATTAATATCTTTTCTAAAACGTATTGTCTAAAACGTATGTTCTTCGAACGTTCCTACTTTATTTGTATATAACCAAACCAAGTGAACGTAAAGCGAACGTTCCTCGAACGTGCTGCTTGAGAATGTAAATACAGGTGTCCAGTTGTTTTTGAACGTAAAGCGAACTAGATTGCATTTTTTGCCTTTAAAGCGAAACAGGTGTGTAATCTAGCGGTGGAAAAGAAAAAGGAGCGAAGTCCCAATGCAATATTAGTTCAATTAAAATGAACAGACCTTATGTTAGTGTACGTGTGGATTAATAATTGTATTGTGCTTCTTAATACGTTAGGAAACATGTCATGTACAGCGATTCTTTTCATTTATCCTTCAGCAATAAATAACATGACGTGGTCTCGTCGAAACAGGTTAATTGCAGTCACTCGCACGATCGACATCAACATCCGATATTTTATCGTGGAAAATTCCGCGGAAAAATTTACGGACGGTCTACGGATAAATGATTTGCAAAACGACATCCTGTATTTTTCGCGTTACCTTCCGTGCTCGTTCTGAAACTTACCGCTCCTAACGTTGACAGCGATATCCGCCAAAATAGCGTCACTGCACGGATAACTTTTTAAAGTACGTAATGAAATATATTTTATACTAAAAAAATTATACACATATATATATGTATATCTTATTTATACATATTTTTCTATATTATTACTTTATTTTTTTTTAATATTCTAGAACGCGTTTATAAGGCTATTCCTTTACTGTGGATTATGTTTATTGAAACAGGGTGTTTATTAACTTATATTGAAATGTAATTCCTTGCTCTTTATTCCTTTCCTTGTTGATCCGTTTTTTTCCTTTTAGCTGTATTAATTCAAAAGATTTACGCTTACTGAAGCATGAGAATCTCGTACATACGTTTCAACGTGTATACACATTTCTCGAACTGGTGCAGCTAAAAAGAACAGACCAACGACGAAAAAACAAGGAACATATCCGAGTTCTGTGTCGATGGCAATAAACGACAGAATATTTCTCAACGACGGATTTTCGGAGCCTCGCGATTAGCACATCAAACACGGCCCGCCCGCTCACAGATTTACGAGAGAAGCTCCGTCGTGAATCCAAAATGATCGCCTGCGCACGCGTCTAGGGAAATTTGTCACCATCGGTTGGCACGACGCGTCGGGCAATCGATTTGGTCGTCGCGTCGCTCGCTTGGAAAGTTCGCGAAGGAGGCACTAGTTAGCGGTGTTGCCCTTCGTCGGAAGAGCGTCTCTCCTCTTGAAAACATTAGCCGGTGCCCCGCAGTTGCCGCCGTTGTCGTCGTGATTGCCGGTACGAACGGTGTGTGGGGCACGCACAGTGCGAGTCGAAGGTGTTTTTGTCATTCACTCGGAGGCTCACAGCGACCACGCAGTTCACACACATATACACGCACACACTCAGACACGTCCCGGCGTGTACGGCGTGCGAAACGAAATAACGAAAGGACGACGGTCGAGCGTCGAGGTGGGTGTCAAAATTCGATCTGTCAGTTGTCCTCCCCCGATTGACGTTGATCACTTGGTTGGTTCGATCCGCGGCTAAACGATGTCGGGCTGTCGCGACGCTGATTTACTTCACGTTCCCTCGCATATAGTTGCGACTCTCTCCTTCTCTCTCTCTCTCTCCCGTTACCTCATATTACGCTAGAAAGCATATTGTATTAAAGAGAGATTGTCGCGAAAGCCTGACCGCGCCGATAGTTTGAATGAAACGTGCCAACTTTCGGCGATTCTTCGCTGTCTCTTTTTTTTTTAGATTCTCTCTCTCTCTTTCTCTCTTTCTCTTTCTTCCCCAACGTTCGTTCGCGATGCGCAACGGAATCACGACAATCGACTGCGAAGGTCAATCCTTTATCGTGCGTGAGAGTTTGATGTAGCCGAAACCCCACCGATTTCGGACCGTTGTGTGAACGAAGAAGGGAAATTTGTTCGACCAAAGCTCATCCACGAATTAATCGGCTCGCTGGCTTGAGATGTTAACGCGACCAGCCTTTAAACGCAGCGTCATGTCTTTAAAGGTTGCATAAGAACGTAAATATCGCACGACATGCGTTTGTTTACTACCGTTTTTCGTCGTTCAGTCCAGCGTGTCGACAGCTTTTCCCCTGAAGTATCACGGGCGAACATCTATCAATGAAAAGGAAACAACAATCGTGTAAAAACCTGTATGGTGAAGTGGATTCACGTTCAATCCGCCAGATTACACATTTCCGCGTGTTCCGTTCTATTCCTTCGAACGACGCGACCTTGTCCTTCGTCGGCCACCTCGTCAATAATAGATCTGCCCTCCTTGGCCGGGCCTTTCTAAGTCTAAAATGAAACCCACGTACACATTCGCGCGTCGGTTGAACAGGGGTGATAAACATTACGGGGAACGGGTGCGAAAGTGTCGCCGGTGAGAATAGTTTCAAGATGACAGAGAGCGTTTATCGATATTTCATTGCACTTTCTGCGCTCGGTCTCTTGTTAGATTTTTTAAATATTTTTTTATATTTTTTAGGTTAGATTAAGATTTATATTCGATTCTTTTTTATCTTGCATGTAGATAGCGTGCATGAGTCGAGAAGGATATTTCGTAGAAAGTCCAACAATTGCGCTTACGACGCTTGTGCATCGGCGTGAGATTACTTTGACGATGAAAAAGAAGTCGCCGAGATCGTACGATTCTTAAACGTTTGATTGTTGATGATTCTGCGACTTTGTCAGTCGTGCAACTGTGAGCTCAGTAGACGATTCAGCAGGATTCTGATATGACGTAATAGTCGATTGAAAGCTGTGCGCGAAGATGGTTTCGCGCTTACCCAAGCGGAATAAAAAGCCACAATAACGACAGAGTAAAGTCACTTCCGAAGCTTTATTTTTTTTTTATCACGGCAGAAAATTGAATGAAATTATCACTTTGGGATTTGCAGATTTAATTCTTTCCAATTAAACTGTCCAATATGTAAGTTGTATGTATTAATAACTGCATACAAAATTGTTCATGCAAACGTGAATGCTAGATTTTTAGTACTGGCAGTAAATATCAAAACGCAGCCTTAGGAGAAATATAAATGCATGTGAAGGACTGAAGGCCGTTCTACAATGTTTCGTAAGTAAGGAAGTTATTGACAAGTCATGATGCAGTCACGACTCATATTAGGTAACTTTCTGTTTGAGTTATATATTATCTTTCTGTTTAAGTTATATTAAATGATATCACTTTGTCTTTCTATTAATGATTATTTTTGGGCATCATCCTGAATTCCATATGACCTTTTGTTCTGCTCGAACTCTCCCGGTAGGGAAAAGGTTTCGTATAAATAAAACAGCCCTCGAAAGACACGCGCGCGGATCTGATATAACGCGAAAGTTGTTCTTCGCATTGGTACGTCGGCCAAGCAAGTTCCTGTCACCTTGGCATATCTTCGCTTCTCACCTTCTATTCCGTTCCTTTCGATGGACGGTTTTCCCTTCAGTGATCGCGATCAACCGTGAGCGTCGAGAACTCGCGTATATAACAATCGCTAATTGCGGCTGGTAATCGTAAACAACTATGAATAACGAACGCGATGAAACGGTGCCGAGAGGAGAATACAAGGACTCCTTTAAAGAAGAATTAAAGAAGATTTCGAGAAGAGTCGGTGTAAATATCTGATTAAACTGATTCTTCGAAGAAAATATCGGTTCGACGTATTCGATTTGTGTATCCTGATTGTGTCATTTGCGCCGCCATGCGAAACGAATCGAGCGAAACTTCTTCAGAAGTAAGCCATATTTCTCTTTTTTTTTTCTTTCTATACGGTGTCCGGTCTTCCTTTTTCCCTTTTCCCGTGCGTTCATTGGCTCAGACAAGAATAATTAATTCCTCACTAACTATTGTGAATATTATAAAAAAACACGTGACTTTTCTGCTCGGTTTCGCCGGTTCTACCACGGGAACGGGTTTGGGACACCCTGTATATCTCGACCTCTTTTGCTACAAATAAAAAACATAAAGACGCGTGCTTTAACGGTTATCAGCGAGGTTCACGTTTTGATGACGCATGTGTAACGTATGTCTGTGATTTCTGAGCATCGCTGTTTCACCGTAGTTGAAAAGTCACGTCGATTCCATTGTGCATTCCAACACATGGACCTGTTTGCGAAGTAGATTTCCCTGCAGGTCCGCAAATGTATCCGGAGCGGAGTATCGAATTCGTGGTCGAGTCGGTGCACAGAGAATTACCTTTGGAGGACGTTCTAAAGTTAAAAACGAGCCGAAAACGCGGAAAGGTATTAAAATTCGCGAACGAAATCTGGCCTTATCGTAAAAAAAAATTAAATGGCGAAAGTATCCCGAAAAAAAATCGCACCGACATTAGTCCGATCGGAGAATCCTTTGATCCTCGCATCAATACGCCGCTAATTATAGCGCATCGTTATCGACTTACGAGTTCGTTCGTTATTTCAGATCGCAACGAGCGATACCAGCAAACACTTGAGCGGCTAAATTCTTCCGAGTACTATTACGATCTATTTGCTGCTATTACTTGTTTTATCTACTTTTTATGAGTCCTTTGTGAGCGCCGTCGATAATCACAGAGAAGATCACGGAAGTGTAGTAAGATATATATTAATGATAATCGTTTAATGAGTAACTCGGAACGCGTGGAAATAGAAGGAAAACATCTTTGTTCTCCTTTTATCTTACAGATTCCGCGTGTTATCATTAAAAAGAACATTGTTAAACTTTACGGTCTCTTCCTTTTTCTTGTTTATTTTCGTTAATAATGACACATTTCGCACAATTTTATTATTTCTCGCATATCTTTGTTCTTTTTTTTACCGAGGTTAATCTTGAATAAAAAATGTTTCAATTTTCGCTCGAAGATCGCTCCAAACCTTCAACCACATTCGGTTTTGGTGTTTTTTTTTTTTTTCTAAGATCGAACCATGAATACCGCCTATATAATGCGTAAAATCAGCAATTAAAGGCGACTGGGATTCACATTCGCCTGTCGACCGGCAATCCGGCGTGCACGTCTCCTCGTCTGACTTCTTTATCTCTCGAGACGTCTGTGCGAAGTATCTATACACTTCACTCGCTTCTCGCTTCCTTCAGAATCCTGTTTACTCGTACGCTGGTAGTGGGGATTCGCCCAAACCGATCACCCTTTTCCGTCGTAAGGATGCTTCCGGAAACGGCGTTTCCGCGTTTTTACCTCTTTACGCATAATTCTCTCTCTCCCTCCCCTCACGTGTCATTAGTCCACTCGGGATGTAAATAACTCCGCTTCCGCATGGAGCAGAACGCGCGTACCGTGTGCGAGGCGCGTGCCAATTTTACTCAGCTCGCCGGTGACGGCCGACACGCGGTCGCAACGTGACGATAACGTTTTTCCTTCAAGCAACGCTTCCGCGATTGCGCCGCAGCCACTCTCGCGGCCTTAAGACCCGGTACCAGGACGAGCGCGCATGGGTAAACGGAGAAGGAGAAAAATGTGCGGACCGACAGACCGGAGGGAACTGTATTTGCGACGACACCGCCTCGCGATGTCACCTCTCTCTCGTCGGCGGCGCGTTACTCTCGCCATCCCCGAAAAATGTCGGCGCAACGCCAAAATCGCATCGCCAGCAAATCTGACATTTCCTTTACATTGCTTTTCATTGCCTCCTGCCTAAGACTTGTATATTTCGCGGCCAACATTTGGCGTTTAGCTCTTATTCGCCCGTCGTCCTTACCCTTTTCTTTTTCACCCCGGAGCCTTCGCGTATCTCGTTATTTTGTTCCCGATTGAAAGCTCACGGGCGAAACTGAATGATAATATTTGCATGTTGACTTGAGAAAAACATCCGTGTGTAAACACCGCGTATAAAACGACACGTAAATTATCCGTGGGGGCATTAATATGAAAACCCCACGGCATAACCCCGCTGCGCGAAGTATCCCGCAGTCGGTTGGTCGGTGTCCGTGGTCATGGTCGTGGTCACCGGGAGCGCGTCTCTCGGTGGTCCTCGTTGACGTTGTGATCCGTCGTGGCGATCGTCGCGGAGCGAAAAGGGGAAAAGAAAAGACGTCATCCTCCCCGACGACGGCGATATCGCTTAGCGAGTCCGCTAGATGGAGAATCGCGGGTGGTGTCGCGAACGGACCCGCGATATCTCGCGGGCGGGGGGGGGGATCCCGGTGTTTACATCNGCAGCTGCGCCACGATCGGAGGCAGCTCCTCGTCGACGACGGCGGAGGTGGCGGTCGGTCGATCGCGCGGGGGGTGGTCGAAAGGTCGCGGCCCCGTCATTGATACGGTTATAGGGAACGCACTTTGGACCAAATCGTCGCGCCGACTAAGAGGGATAAAGCGCGACGGCGTTGCGTCAGTGTCGTCTCGGCCACGCAACGCGACACAACACGCCGCCACCGCACCGCATCTCACCGGAACGCCGACGACGTCATTCTTTCTTCGTTCTCTCCTCCACCGCGCCTCTTCGCGTTTCTTCCTCTTTCTCTCGCGAGCCTTCCACGATTTTATCCGGCCGGCGAGTCGCGGGGGTACCATGGACCCCAGCCAAGAGCGACAGTAAACGCGCCCGAGGGAAACCGCTGCGAGGACAGCGCGCTCACCAGCTGATCGAGAGAGAGAGAGAGAGAGAGAGAAAGGGGGAGCTAAATAGATAGAAAGGAAGACAGGCAAAGGAGGCAAGAGTGCGACCAGAGAGAGAGAGAGAGAGAGAGAGAGAATAAATAAATCATCTTTCTCCAAACGAGGTCCGTACGCGTAGCTCACACGTGACACTCGTGTGACGTACCGCGTGAGCAAGGACGAGAAAGAGAGAGAGAGAGACAACGTGCTGTGTGCACGGCTCAGACATCGCGGCGACCTTCTCAATCTCGCGCGTCTCGTGAGCTCACCGACGAGCTATCGGCACCGACCATGTCCACAGAACCGGGTAGCTTCACCTCCAACGGCAGCATGATCGTCGTGAGCAACAGGTTGCCGTTCGTGCTAAAGAGGAACGAGACGACCGGCCAGCTGGAGCGCAAAGCCAGGTTAGTGGGACCACTTTCTTCCCTTCTTTCTCTCCCCGGCGACGAGGTGTGCGCGCAACGAACGCGTTCCGGCTACCTTGACCTTACCACCGCGGTGAGAGCCGCGATTACGTTACGGGAAATAGGCGACGGGCAGCTCTATTGTTCCGTATTACGATATTTGCGTCGAGCGATCGCGCTTTAAACCGGCATGCGACGCTGCGTTTTTTCCCCTCGCGATGTTTTCCCCGCCGGCGATCTCTCGCATAGATTATTTTTCCTTCCGAGCTAAACTAGCTTCGTCCGCTTCTCTCTTTTTTTTTCCTCTCTCTCGGTCCCCCTTATATTCTACTTGGATGTATAAATTGCTACTTCGATTCCGCAACTTACGCTATTTACGTACTCGCTATCTTATTTATTTATCGTAAGTTTCCGCTTTCGCGCGCACATCGTCGCTTCAATTTCAAGCAATACGGAGCAATGCGAGAGAAGTGACGCAAGTTGGCATGGAGAGCATTTTGCATAAACTTTCACATCGCGTGGCGCGTCAGTGATAATACAAATTTATGTGCTTTATCTCACCGCGCTTGTACCACCGCAGCCAACTCTCCCGCGCTCCCTTGTTTACGGCCGACAACGTCAGTGCTAACGCGCGAAACTGCGCTCTGGGCGTGTATGTGACTCGCGTCTTGCTCGCGAATTTCCCCCCTCCCCCCTCTTTCTTTTCTTTTTTTTTTTTGTTTCGTACTTCACTCGCATAATGTGACAGTCGAGATAACGGGCTGCGACACGGGCTGATGTGATTGTGTATCGTGCATACGGCGGGGTTACATCAATCCGCCGCTGGCGTTATCTCTCCAGTCGTGTTTTTCAATAATTAAAATGTCGCTAATGGAATTAAGAACACTGTCATACACGGATCACATCATACGGTGGCGCCCGACAATACGCGATCGCGTCAGTTTTACGATAGAGAAATATACAGCGATCGAGAGATCCCGTTCTCTTGTCTCGATCATATTAATTCTTCTAAGTGTCAGCCCCCTGTTTTCATTTTTCACGAGAAAAACGGCCGTGGTATACCGTCGGAAAATGGCTCGAAGACTTTTTTTTATGTGAATGCCTCAGCTTCGCAGCCCTGTAGAATTACGCCGAAAACGTTGCTCCGCATTCAAGTAAATATTTGCTCTATCGCAGTAATTATTTTATTGGTTGTTTTATGGATTATGTAAATATTACCCGAATATAGTCACATTCAGAGAAGAAAATACTACACATTCGAACAATTCAAATAATACTTATAATTCAGGCAATATTCACATAATCCAAGTAATAAAATAATGACTCCGATGTTCCTTAGCAAATATTCAGCACTTGAATGTAGCACTTTTTCCTTTCAGTGCGGTTAGAAAAAAAAAACGTCACAACATCGATGATTTTGACATTTCCGCGAAAAATTTCAAACTTACAATCTGTTTACTTTCGATTAAAACTGCTAACGAGTCAGACGTGTTCGACGCGATTATCCGAATGCTATGCGGATAATCATAAAGCGTATCAACGTGTTTTCGAGTCGGTGTGTCCAAATTTTGATCGGGGAAATAGAGAGAGAGAGTGTGTGTGTGTGTGTGTGTATGAGAGAGAGAGAGAGAGAGAGAGAGAACGTATACGCCTCGCACACAATACAACGAGAGGAACGATTAGTTCAACAAGACACGCGCGTCATATCAGAAAGTAAATATCAGAATGTACATGCGCATATAGTTGACAACAGCGACACGGGATTGCTGAAGTAATAGTAGCGATAATTGCGAATAATAAAGTTCGTTCGAAACTCTCGTGCGGAGAATGATAAACCCACTAGGATTTTCCTGTCGGCAAATAATATACATTTGACAAAACGGAATCTTGAAGGTTAAACGCGTCACTGAACGCGCGATCTGTCGATAGCCGCCGATCGATCGATACTCCGGCTCGAATTCGCATAGCCGAAGGTCGAGAAAATTCGTGGCTCGATAAAAGTGTCGCACGATCATCGCCAGAAGCGAAGTCTTGATTTTGCAAAGGTCTTGAGGTAATTAAATTTGTTTGATAAGAGATATTCTCGGCGCGGTAAGATAGCCGGGGAATAATGAACGCCGTGCGTTGCCTCGCGCGTCGTTTAAGTCATCCGTTTAAGTGTAATTAACGAGGGATTTCTCGAAACGCCAATAACGAACCCACATAACCATCCGCCGACATCGTCGTCATAATTAGCGCACGTGTCTACCGCGTGTCTACCGGTTGGCGTTCGCGTGCTGGTTCCCTCTCTCTCTCTCTCTTTCCTCTCCGTTCACCGACCGATCTCGCGTCTTGAATCTCCAATTGCTGTCGAGCTCTCCCGTGCGACAAATTCGCGCGAGATCGGTGGAAAAACACCGGGAGGGGCAGAATTATTCCCGATTATTGTTGATTATTCCTTATTCTTTTCCCCCTTTTTTTTTCTTCGCTGAAGCAATCCAAACTGGATTAATCCGAGCGCGAAAGAAGTGTTGATTATTCATTCCCGCTCCCCGCTTTATCGCGCGCACACACACATTGGGAATCGCGACATATTTTTACATGTAAATGCAAATATTGTGTAAATAGCAATCGCAATACGTGCGGAGAAATCATCGGTGAGTGACGTCGCGGAGGCGAGACAAAATAACGACAAAATGCGAATAAATCGCCGTCCCGTTCGACGAGTCTCGACAAATCGACTGCTCGACCCGAGAAATATTTGCGAATCGGATCGCGCGAGCGAGCGGCGCGCACAAATCAATCATCTTCAGCCGTCGACACGTTGTAAATTACCGTGTTTACAAACAGTCATATTAATGAACAACCATCGCGATTACTTGTGAAATAGAAAACATCGATCATGATAAGGAGCGACGCTGTGCGCATCGCGAGCGTCCGTTCATTTTCAACTTGAGCGACGAGGGAATTCGGCACGACTCGAAAGTGCATCAGCGCGCGATCTCCGCCAATTCTTGATTCTATGCCGAAAAAATCGCCAGAGAATTTCTTGCAAAAAAGGATCGCTGAACCAATTGTGTACGATAAATCGAAGATTTGTGCGCTCTTCATATTCAGGCAATTTCGATCTCTGCGCTTCGAAATTTTCACTCGTTTTGGATGAGATTTTAACCCAAGATATTGAGTTCCTTATGTTGATTATTCGGCTAAATTGCCATTTTGACAGCTTGACATCGTTTATTTATATCATAAATCGTATTATTTGACATCAAGATATGATACTAACGATTTTAAGAAAAAGAATAAGTTTTAGTCCTTCAAATGCTTGAAGCTTTATGGAAACTTACGAGAAAATCAATGATGATTCATGGAGTGTTGCAGTCGGATATCGTAAAAACGCTTTCTTTCGTCCGCCGGTTCTCCTCCGATCGCTCGACGGTCGAGACTCCCTTTTCGAGAAAAACCAAGTCACGATAATCGCATTAATGTTGCGTAAAAGTCGCGGGGAACGCGCGCATTGACAAATGATAGAAAAAGGATATCACGCGCGCTATTTCGCAACAGAGACAAAAGAAACAACCGTAATCCTAGGGAAAGTTCACGTCGCTGTCACGCATTCGTGCGCACTCGATGTATGCACGTACATACGTACGCTTTTGAGAAATCTAGTTGATCATGGCCGAGACCGGACGGTAATAATACATTATATAAACGTGCTTGTCATTGTATTCAATGCCGCGTTCAAACGTGCCTATTAAATATATGATTAATTAATCAGAACGATTGTGAATCTCAGCGATGTCCGCAATTTTCATTTCGATTGACATGTTAACCGCCACGTTGGCTTTTGCTGCTGTTTATACAATAGCTCGACTGACAATTGATTTACGAAGAAACGGTAAATAAGTGTGTGATTCGAGACGGTCGTATCTTATTTCATGAGTTCCCTATAAGTGCTGTCGATTTTTACGGAAAGTATAAGTTAAATGAAGTGTTTCACTCGTCTTAAAGGCTAAACGCTTCTCTCGAACTTTATATCAAAATTTCTTCTATTTCTGTAATCTGTTTCTCTAAATTACCATTTTACCAATTTCCCAAAATTATTGGGTAATTTATCGTCGTTTACGTGAGTAAGCTGCCGTTTCCAGATTGGGTTATTTTCATCTCTAGCCGAAATACCTGAATTATACCGACAGCATAATCATCAACCGGCCGTATCACCTCATCCTTCACATGCAATTAAAATTATATTTTATAATTATTAACTCTTACTGAGAATTAGTAACTTAATGAGACGTGGTAATGCCATCGTAACGGTCGCCGATGACGGTCATTTAACACGTTAATTAAGCGTCAAAACCTGCACTTGCGAATATTGACGCGTAGAAGGCGCGACCTTTCACTCATGACTAATTAAAAATTACATTTACACAAGCAAAAAAGAGATTGGATACTTTCGCGAATTCCTTCGCGCACTTCGTTCGCGAGCCGGCGAGCGTGCGTCTCGAGACATTAATCTGCGCCATCGACGTTGATTCCTGCGCAGTTCCCTCGTTTCTATCGTTCCTGTCGTTAAAATATTCGCGTTGAAAATAAAATTGTTTTGAAAATGACAGAGTCTCGACGCACGAGCGGCGCCGTGTTGTTCACATTCGTTGCATATACATTTATGAGTCGCGGCGCGTTACGACACCGACTTTAGACCGTTTCTTGTATGCTAATTTGCCTCTGTGGTCTGTTTTTTCCACCGTACCTTGATGGAAAACGCAAATCTCAAATTAATATAAATTTACCGAGCGGGAGGAATGTATTAATTGACGTACTCGAGTTCGTCATATTCAACTGCTTATTTATACGGATATTTACTCCATATATTTACGGATATTTTCTTCGATCGCACGACGAGCAGCCCGAATTGTACCCGAGAAAACAACTTGGTAATTAGCGACTCGTCCATCCACCGTTCTATTAATACGATTTATTAATACGATCCGATTAAGATAACGGACGTAATTAAAACTCCGCGTCTCAAAGTCGCGGTTGGATGCCGTTAATTAATCAACGATTGATCGCGATATATCATTTCGATGTTTTTCAACGGCACAATTATACTGAAAGAAAGAAATTACTACGATCAAGTGAATACTCGCTAAGGAGCATTGAAGTACTTTATTTTATTCGGATTAAGTAAATATTACTTGAATGGTAGCGCACCGGAGGAAAAATAAATGCTAATAAAATATTTACTTGAACGTAGCCACTTTTTTTTTTCTTCAGTGTGCGTATACGAGGCGGTCTCAAGTTTTTGCAAAGTAGAGGGAACACCTACGCGGGTGAATTAATATTTTACATCCGGATGGTCGCAATCTCTCTTTCTCTTTCCCCCTAAAAGATGGCAAACCTCGACTCTGATTTGACATTGCACACAAAAATTTAAACACACACACATATATATATATATAGGAAATATATTATTAATATATTATAATAAAATGCTATGATGAAGTAAATTTACACGATTGAAATTTTAGTTTGAAAAACTTTTCATTTCTTATGTGTCTTTGTTAACATTTTCTATTTGACCTCCTTTTCACGACTGTGATATTTGGTAGCTCTCGTCAGTTTCTCGATCCACTGTCGATTCACTCTCGTTCGCTCTCACATAAATCTTTCGCCTTGTTGCAGTGCTGGCGGTTTGGTCACTGCGGTAGCGCCGGTCGTCATCAACGGAAATGGAGTCTGGGTGGGATGGCCAGGCATGCACATGGACAACCCGAACGAACCGATCCCCGAGTCCGACCCCAATGATCGCACACCCACAGCCGGTCTGTTGTCTCGAAAGGTAAGGAGAGCCGCTTAGTTCAGCGCGATAAGCGCGCCCGCGATCGAATATTTCGTACGCCTCCGCGCGCGCTCATCGGCGTCTTATGTAATAATCTGTCTTGCGCAACATCTGTACGTACGTCGAGAAGGAAAAAGGAAGAGGCGCTTAACTCCCACTCCGAAAAAAGTTTCGCGGGACACAATGTTCGGAGCGTAGAGAGTCATTAGGGAAATAAGTGGGCGCGTAACAAAGTATCGCCGTTGGGACGCTAGTTTTTACCGCGCCGTGAGTACAACCGCAGCGATCCCTCGGTATTTGCGTTTTATGACGAGCGGAGGAATACCATGGTGGAGTTAATTTTTATTTTTTTATAACTAAGTTAAAATTACCTAAATAGAGACTAGCTTCGTTAAAAGTTAAGTTAAAATTAAATCGACTTGATGAAGTTGAAAGTTAATTATGCAAAACCATGTGTCTATATATATATATTTTTTTTTTCACATAAATAACTTCCTTATCGCAGATGAAATTTACGTGAAATAATGAACAAGTATAAAGAGAAAAAGATTGTTGTGGCTTTAATAAAATAAGAAAAATATCGACTGTTTTGTGCTCAGGTGCCGTACAAAAGAAGGCACTGATGCTGAGAGAACGAAAAAAAATTCTCCTGACATTATTTCTGACTTTCTTATTCTGTATTATAAGTACCTTGGAATAACTTAAATATTGATGAATTATTTTAACTTATATAAAAAAGTTAATAAATTGAAGTTGAGTTTAATGCATTTTAAGTGACTAGTTTAAGTTAAAAGTTATCTCATTTAAAATTAAAGTTAGAATCTACTAAGTTAATAGTTGTGAACATTTTAATTTAAACTTTTAATTGATTAACTAGTTATTACCCGATCCTGATGAACGCATATCGTATGCGACTTATGCGATCGATCTTTCAATTGGAGTTTCTTCGCGTCCGTCGAATTCCTCCAACTTTTCCTGCCGAATCGGTATTTTACGACTCGAAGACATTGTGTGCCTTGATCTTAATAAATCGGTTTACGCCACTCTTTATCATTGTTTGCGACTTGTGTAAGTAAAACGTGTCGCGTGTGAAGCTCAAATACAGCCCTGTCGGGATTAAGCAGCTCACGCGGCTTTTTCCATTGAATTTTCCACTCGCGCATATATCTTTTCACTCGATTACGCACGTGGGAGGAGAAAACTTTCCACGTTTCAGGTGGCCACATTCGAAATCAGATATCTCATCGTCTCCTCGCCTCGTTCGGTATTTAACGATGAAATATATCAACCTTGGCATTGATAACGTACTCATACCTCGTAATCGTGCAGCAAGTAGTCTCCCCTCCTCGGTCAGCTTGTAATATTCCATGTCGCCGAACGTGACTCGAACGAAAATACCATCGGCCGCCTTTCGTGCCGGTAACGTCGCTCTTGATAACGGTTCTAATTATTTCTCTTCCTACCTTTCATCTATGTGACGAGCGACAGTTATTATTCGGCCGATGGCAATGTATCGCCTGAAAAATCAGAATCTCGAAAGTCGAGAAGAGCTTCGCGGAATGTTTCGTCCCGGCTTCGACTCGGCCCCGCTCGCGGGATGATAAACGCGAGAGTTTTCAATATTCATATGTACAATTTATCACGTAAATACGTTACATCATTTGCGCGATACGTTCGTTTTTTCCCCGAGGTGGGGGAGACGATTTGATAAAAGGGGAAAAAGAGATCGAAAGAGGAGGGCGCGCGCATATACATCGAACATAGGTTGATCTGATCGATCTCGATCGTACGAACAAACGGACGTAGGTCATTTCTTTAGAACGCGGTTTCGCATGAATGGGTCCAAAGTGGCGATCCGGTGTCACGGATATTCGTGTCGCGGGGTCGATCGCTCAGGGTTATCGTCGCGTGACGCGCGCGGACTTACGTCCGTAGGCGTTCATAGACGATCGCCATGTCGGTTTTCCGGCAATCGGCGATACCGGTCGGCGATACGGAGGCTCGCGTGGTACCACCCGCGAATGAACGTCGCGGTGAAGATCGGCGTGAGAAGCTCACGAGGCTCCCGAGATAGCCGATAATTGACATAATACTCCCCGGTAGTCGCGCGCAATCGCTAATCGATGACCCGACCGCAGGCTGCGAGGCGACAACGACGATGATCGTTACGTGGAAATATTCTGGCAACGGCAAAATATCGGGCAAACATCGGCTCACGCCTGTTTATTGCGCTCGGTTGCTCAACAAGCGGAAAGTGAGGCGCGTAATTAGGACACCGTAAGAGAAGAGTTTCTTAAAATCGAGTCCACGGGCGAGTTCGTTTCTTTCACTCGCCTTTACACTCTTGGATTTTGTTTACCTTCTCTTCGAGAATATTAACTTGATAAGTTGTAAATGTATAAATGACACATATGGGTGCCGCACATTCTCCGGCTGTGGAACCGTCTTCGTCTCGTTTTCGCTGCGGCGAGCTCGTTCCCGTCGCTCGGCCGGCCTATTTTTGCGTCGATCGTGGTCGGAATGTTCAATAATATGTTTGCATAATACGACGCGCGGAAAACAAAGAAAAGGAAAAAACGGAGAAACAACGTTACGAAGGGGAGAAGTCGGCTATCGTGTCGCATGCTCTCCCGTCGCGAAATACACGCGAGGCGCGCGAGATAAGGAGCAATTAAAGTGTTTTCATCGCGAGTTATTTCCTAAATAAACCGCCGGACGAAACAGTGGCGCGAGGAATGCCATCGCGTCATTAGAATCTGTTTTCATTGTCTGTCTGGATGAGTAAACTTCAAATTTTATCCTACGATAGAGGGTAATCTTACGTGGATACAGTCGGCGTCATGTATACTGAGAGAAAAATATTTGGAAATTGACTAATTTTCCGGGAATTTTCTAAGGAACACCACTTGATAATATATCGCTTTGCGTCGATTACACATATCATATTTTTTTACATTCGCTATGCGTTATCTTCGGGAATCGAGATCGGTGCCTCGGCTTTTCTTCGCAAACTGCGAATATATTCAACACTAAACCTGATACTAAACCCGAGATCGGCAATCGATCGATTTCTCTAGATGTTATTCTACGCGCAGTATTACGTCGCGGGTCGTAATAGGAAACGTCGATTGTGGCGTTCAAGCGCGCGGTTCGTCGCACGGTTCGAGGGACTTTAAACCTGAGAAAAGTGAAGATACTTATTCGTGTTCCAATGTGAAGATAGAAATTCGTGTCATGATTTCACTCTGCGTACGAACTTTGTGAAAAAGTCACTCAGCTTCAAGTGGCTCGGTTATCATTCTCTGTTCCTCGGGCGGAAATCTCAACATTTCCGGGTATCAGTGGGACGTCCTGCCCGATCGAAGCGTGTATCTCGCCGATGATGTTACAGCATATCACGAGCCGAATCCTCGACGTCTGTTATTTACCGTGTAGAGTAACTCGCGAGATAATTCCGAGCACGTTCGTTAAATTAAAATCGATCGAGGTTATCGCCTGTTTCCATCCGATTCCCGCTCGATTAACGAAACTCTCTTTCGGGTGAAAAATTGATACGCTTTATCGCGCCGCGATGAAGCAACCTTCGACGTCGACGACACAGAAAAGCTCCCACCGATATGTGATACGTGAGCGAGCGGGGAGAGGAAAAAAGAGGCTTTCCCTGACCTCTCTTAATTAATGTGCTCGGTAAATGGCGATATCCGTGAAAGAAGCAACCGTTGCCCCGGTTGCCGCGGTTGTGTCTATCGTAGAAGCGTATCAAACCGCCTTATCGCTCGCCGGCGATTGCTCGCTTGCGTCAGGCGGCGATCCCTCTCGGGGCGGCCTGTTTTCACACTCCGCTTCGGAAATAAAGGAGGCAGTGTCGCGGGCAAAATAACCAAGTCGCGGGGATAACACGATTGCACGACGGCGATACTTTAACGAGCAGCACGAGGGGGAGTCCCCGTCGAACTCCTCGACCGACGACGACGTCGCCGGCGGCGATACGTCGTTATCGCGAACGCGCGAAACCGAACTTTATTGTGCACTTCCGACCCGCGCCGGTATTCACCGGTATTCACCCTTGTCCTATTTCTCATTATCTCCGACTGATTTTCACACATAATCCTCCGTTCACTCGTAAGCTCCGGGAAAAATACGTTGTCGTCCGACGAAACATGCACGGTGAAAAATGTTGCGCCGAGAAATGCGTGTCCGTTGAAACTTTCGTGTTACCTTAATACAGGGAATATGTTATGAAAAGTAGACAAATATGATTAATTATCGCCGATTTTTTTTTTTATTTTATTTCGTCCCGAGAAATTTAGAGGGCGAGTCGCTTTTGAATTTCGACGCAAGTAATTCCCCGATTTTTGCCCTGCGCGACGCGCGTTTCCCGCGAGATTCGCAATGCTGCTTCACGCGTGGTACAGATGATAGCTTGAAAAATATTTATCTGAATCTCGGTAGAGGCCTCCGTCAGGACAACGTGATCAATTGTTCAGCCTTGTCTCATAAACTCGTGTCGGCGCAACGTGACAGGCGAGACGATTTAATTCAAAGCGCCACATTTACACGGTGATTAAGTGATTCTTAATAGAGTTGTAATACTTACACGGTTTGTCATCGATTTGTCTGAATTCGAGTAATTATTCAATGTAAATGTAGCAAGTACAACGTAAGTGGGGGGAATTATGAAGGACTTAATTATATTTTTATATTTATTTATTACAAAAAGGATTTATGTATAACTGTCATATTTTTCCTTTCTCTTATTCATATTCATCCTTAATTATATGTTTCCCTTCTTATTAGTAACTATTCGTAATTATTTTCAAAAGAAGGAACGTTAGAAGAATCAATCGTTTGACGCGCGAAGCGCCTAAAAATACACGCCCAGCTAGGCGATCGGCGGCGCACACCTTGCCAAATACGTTGCGTCTCGCACCTCTCCGACGCTGTTCAATTGCGCGATGATTGCGTCGATCGCAGCTCGCGAGCTCGCCTACGCTGAAATTGATTCCCGAAATAGCGGGCGCATGATGGGAGAGAAATTCCGTTCGGCCTCCCCATGCGTGCGCCCACCCACACACCCTCTCTTCCTTCGTTTTCCAGGTGGTGGCGGTGCACGTGGACCCCGGCATCTTCGATTCGTACTACAACGGATGCTGCAACGGCACCTTCTGGCCGCTCTTCCACTCGATGCCGGATCGGGCGACCTTCATCGCCGAACATTGGCGCGCGTATTCCGCGGTCAATGAACAGTTCGCGGAGAAGACGGTCAGTGTTTATACTGTCGTGCCGTGATTGATCGCGACCTTGCGATCTGAAAATACGTTCCTCCCGCGACTCCGCTTTCTAATCGGATCCTATTAGTTTCCAGTTTCGCGTTTCGCGCGCGCGCGCGTCTGCTTCTCGTCAGTCTGGTGTAATTATAATTACACTAATTGCAAATATAATTATCTCGTGTAATTACAGATAGAATATCATGCCGCGCAAAAGGAATCTCTCGCGACGTGTAATTAAATGAGAGGTTTTGACACGCTGATACGTTCCTCTTTAGCGTTGAAAATGAGATTTGTGTGAATTAGATGAATTAGCTCGGAGATAGATTTTTGGCGTATACATCACGCGCGCGTATTACAAGCGACGGATCTGTGCCGATGTAGGTCGGCGCATTAGAGCAGATTCACAAGGAACAGATGAACCAGTCGAACGGCACGCCGCTGGTATGGGTGCACGATTACCATCTGATGTTGGCCGCCAATTGGATCAGGCAGGCGGCCGACGAGAAGAATCTCAGGCTGAAATTGGGCTTCTTCCTGCACATACCGTTCCCGCCTTGGGACATCTTCCGGCTCTTCCCGTGGGCCGACGAGATTCTGCAGGGCATGCTCGGTGAGTAGAGGCGAGACCATCCCCGTTCGGGTTACACACTGTGTGAACTTTGCTCTCAGGGTAGTTCGCTGCGGAGTCAGATCCTAACGTAGCTCCTGTAACGTTTAGGATGCGACATGGTGGGTTTTCATATTCAGGATTATTGTCTGAACTTCGTCGACTGCTGCCAGAGGAGCCTCGGCTGCCGGGTGGACCGGAAGAATCTGCTGGTCGAGCACGGCGGCAGGACGGTGCGCGTGAGACCATTGCCGATCGGCATCCCGTTCGACAGGTTCGTCTCGCTGGCGGAGACCGCCAACAAGGTCATGCAGTCGAATCAGAAGATCGTCCTAGGCGTCGACCGGCTTGACTACACGAAGGGCCTCGTCCACAGGCTGAAGGCCTTCGAGATGCTACTGGAGAAACATCCCCAACATCGTGAGCAAGTAATTACTCCTTTACTTTGCTTTCCCTACGGGAAGTACTCCTTTGAGAATCAGAAACGAGAATATAAATAGTTCTCAGGTGGCCGTTGAAGTAAATAATTAACACTCTACGAGTCGCCTTTTTTTTTTTTTTTTTTTAAAACTTCCTCTGTGATCTCGAGTGCGGTTTGAAAATAAGTAGAAAGTTGAAGGACTTTATCTTCAGTTTGCCGAAGGAACGCGCGAAAAAGACTAACACGCGTTTACGTCGGTACATCGTTTCGCTGTCTTGGAATCGCCGGACGATATATCCGTTCGACCTTCGTGCCGCAGGTGACGATGCTTCAGATCGCAGTGCCGTCGCGCACCGACGTCCGCGAGTACCAGGATCTGAAGCTCGAGATGGATCAGCTGATCGGCTGTATAAACGGCCGCTTCACGACGCCCAACTGGTCGCCGATCCGTTACATCTACGGCTGTGTAAGCCAGGACGAGCTGGCGGCGTTCTATCGCGACGCCGCCGTCGCCCTCGTCACGCCCCTCAGGGACGGCATGAATTTGGTCGCCAAGGAGTTCGTCGCTTGTCAAATCAACAAACCGCCGGGCGTGCTGATAGTGTCGCCGTTCGCCGGGGCCGGTGAGATGATGCACGAGGCCTTGATTTGCAATCCTTACGAGATCGACGAGGCCGCCGAAGTAATTCATAGGTACGCGGGCTGGCCTTTCTATCGTGGTGATCGAGCTGAGTTCGATCGATGACGATAGGCAGACCTGTGGAGAAACGGCTCTTTCCGATACTCGGACGAGGGAAGGTCACGAGATGGTATCCGCCGATTTCAATAATATCGTTTGTATCGGTGAGCCGTGGTGTATGAAGCTTTGTTTAGCAAAGGGAGAAAGCACAATTCCCAAGCATCTTTCAGAAAATCGAAGTTAAAAGTCCCGAGGTGTACCGGTGAGCTTAGCGGAACGCTTCATCAAAAGTCAGCGTACGCGAGATTCGTAAGGCGAGAGGCCGCACTTTCGCTTGGTTCGAGCCTCGACGGGTAAATTTCTCTCAAATCAAGAAACCGCAGAAGTCATATCGAGATTTTGACTTTGATTTTCTCAGAAACGCCTGAAAGTTGCGCTTCCTCCCTTCGCTCAACGAAGGATCGTGCCGAGGTTTATCCACTCGCGCAATATCATCGAAATCGATGGGTGCTACTTCGTGACCTCCTCTTGAGTGAATAATTTTCATTGTTCCAAGTCGTACTCTGACGATAAGGCAGAGACACGCAAGTTGAGTCCGATATGTTTCAACAGAGCTCTCACTATGCCGGAGGATGAGCGTACGTTGCGAATGAACCACTTACGTCGACGAGAGAGGATCTACGACGTCAATTATTGGATGAAGTCCTTCCTTCAAGTGATGGGCTCGCTCGAGGAGCACGATTCCGTAGGCGCTACCACGATGCAGCCCGTGACTATGGACGACTTCGACGACTATTTGAGCAAGTAGGTGTCAGATGTGTTAAAAGATGTGCATGACTGGGCCCGACCAGCGCATGCGCTTTGAACGGGAGAGATAGTTGAATGGAGCAATACGTACGCAATACAAGTGAATTTATATCTAAAGACGATACTTCCGGCGCATAAGAAAGATTGAAAGGATTGTACTTCTTACAGTTTGTGTTTACTATTCCCTAAATATACAGTGACATCGAAAATTCCCAATCAGCGGCATCACGTCCGAATATCCGTGCATCGTGACTGCTGATTATTCGGCAGTAAAACGGTAACGGTGCTCCAAAGCCAGCAGTCATGGTGCGGAAATATTCGGAAACGATGCGCCCGGTTGGAAATGTTCGGTGTTAATGTATCTAAGGAATGGGATTAATGCGTTAATGGAGTCTCGTGTCACTAATCTAGCGATTCTCAAACTGTGCTCGCGACGATTGATACATTCGGTTCGATGTGAACGATAATACGCGCGCTCTCTGACAATGCATGAACCCGGCTCGAAAAATGCCCGTTCACGCGAGAAGGAACGTCCAACGACGTTCCGAGGAAGTTTGAGAACCACCTGTATTAGAAGTCACTTCCGCAGCACTCGTGTTTAAGATAGTACGTTAAGCACAACACAAGACACACTCGACGCTTCCGACACTTTTAAGCCAAGCATGAGTTTGGGTACGTCGCAGCGTGGCGACATAATACGGTCTGATTGCCGGTATGTGCTTGATGACGTCGCCGATCGCGAGAGATCGCCGACTTGCTCCACATGCAAGGGATATTGGTCCTGATATCCTATCCAGACACTCCCGCGATACTGCAAGCAAGCAAAGCGTGTCACACTGCTCTAAGCATTCGAAAGAGCCGCAAGTGGGCCGATAACGGGGCGTACAAGCGAGGGAGAGAGAAAGAGAGAGAGAGCGAAAGATCGACGCTTTTCCGGAGAGACGGCGGGCCCGCGCGTGCGAATGTTACCTGACTCATGACGAAAGCCGGATAACGATCCAGTGATGAACACATGTCCCCTAGGTACATCGGTGATAATCACAAATTGGCGCTTCTGTTGGATTACGACGGCACGCTGGCGCCGATCGCCACGCACCCCGACCTGGCGATCCTGCCGCTCGAGACGAAGAACGTGCTGCAGAGGCTGTCCAACATGTCGGACGTGTATATCGCCATTATATCCGGCCGGAACGTGAACAACGTGAAGTCGATGGTCGGGATAGAGGGTATCACGTACGCCGGGAACCACGGCCTGGAGATCCTACACCCGGACGGCAGCAAGTTCGTCCACCCGATGCCCGCCGAGCTGGAGGGCAAGGTGGCCAGTCTGATGCAGATACTTCAGGAACAGGTACGTCCATAGATTGTAGTAAAGACCGAGCATGTCCGGTGTCAGCGATGCTTCGACAGTGAAGATCAGGTGGGAGAGGTCGAGGGCTCTTTCTCTCTCTATCCGCGTCCGAGTACTTCTCGCAGAGAAGACGTCGGAGACAGCCACGGCAATTGCCTTCCGATTCTCTGTCTACGTGATCTTCAAGTATCCCCCAAGTTGAGAAAAGCCAGTTGGGAATCCATATGGGAAATCCATCGTGGAATTCTATAGTTGCTCATGAGGATTTGCGCCAAAAGTCTAGATCTTAGGTAACGATTCGTGCGGATACCTGCGTGGATTTTCGCACACCATGTGGATTCCTATGTGGACTCTCGATATCTTATATGGATTCGCATGAGTTCCCTTAGATTTCCGTAGGGATCTGGAAATTTTCAACGGAGTCACGCTCGGCGTTATATTGATTACGTCTGCGGTTACGCCATTGTACGTTTCGTCGTCCATCTTGGCCTACGCCGAGTTTACAGGCCGGTAAACACCAGCTAACAATAACGTCACGTCAGTGTTACGATAATTTGGTTATAATAATTTCTCACTCAACAATGTAAACAATTGCATTGTCGAAGAGGAAGGAAATTGTAACACTACGTTATAACGTTACCGTTAATTGATGTTTACTGAGAGTCGACGTCTCGGATTTTGTCCGTGACTAACTGGTAACGTCTGTTCGTTGCTCGCCGAAGCTATGCAGGGACGGTGCGTGGGTCGAAAATAAAGGAGCGCTGCTGACCTTCCATTATCGCGAGACCCCGATGGAGGGTCGTCCCAAGATGGTGGACCAGGCGAAGAAACTGATCGAAAACGCCGGTTTCAAGGCCTGCACCGCGCATTGCGCGATCGAGGCGAAACCGCCGGTGGAGTGGAACAAAGGTCGCGCCTCCATCTACATTCTGCGCACGGCGTTCGGGCTCGATTGGAGCGAACGCATCAGAATCATATACGCCGGTGACGACGTTACGGATGAGGACGCGATGAAGGTGAGGAACGTGTTGTTTCCCTCCTTCTCCGGTCGAGCGACGAGGACGTTTTGCGTCGCGATTCTAATCACGGAGACGTTTCCACCATGGTTTTTGCGCAGGCGCTGAAAGGTATGGCCGCGACATTCCGCGTTGCGTCGTCCCACATAATCCGCACCTCCGCGGAGAGGCGTCTCCCCAGCACGGATTCGGTCCTCACGATGCTGAAGTGGGTCGAGAGGCACCTGAGCAGACGCAAGCCCCGCAACAGCATCGACATACCGGGCATCCCGTCGAGATTTCGGCGCAGCAGCGGCGGCATCACGATGGAGATGTCGTACACCCCGCCAAGGACTACCCTCGAGTCCTAGGTGATGCTCAAACCGTCATCCGTTAGCATATCAACCGTATACCCGGCGCGATATATATCTGTCATAGGGTTTATGATGTATACTCGTAGCGTGTAAAACGAAAAGTCGCGACGGAGGAGAGCAGGATTAAAACGGGATCACACGCGAGCGATCCGCAGGAATAGGCAGGTAAGAAAGAGAGAAAGAGAGAGAGTCGGTGGGAAAGACGTTGAGGAGGAGCACGCGAGGCTGTAACGAAGCCGCTCCCCCCGCTCGTCACCGAACTGTGTGCACGTACGTCGAGTATAGACGACGCCGAAGAGACTGCGAGGAAAGTCGAGGGAAGAACGGCAGAATAGTTTCTATCCTAATCTCCATCGTACGATATCGACCGCGCGTTAGATAGCGTAGTTGTCGCGAAACGACCACCGTCTCGTGGTCGATCAAGCACGAAGAACCGAGAGAATCTCTCCGATTCCTTCAGCTTTTAATTGCTGTCGATGTATCGGCCTCGAGATATCGGCGAGATAGGCGACTTCAGACCGGAAAGAAAACAAATATTGGGAGCCGTACAAAGTACATGAACAATGTTTTTCACACGATAAGAGCTATTCTTTTTTCTTCCTCTACCGCGAAAGTGTATATGTGTGTGTGTGTGTGTGTGTATATATATATATATATAATTCCAATATATATATATATATATATATTTATATATATAATGTAATGTCTGATTTTCTTCCGGTGTGCGTAGTATCCTCTCGCCGGATCAATCCTTGAAAAATCGATCTTGTTAGATCTCGTGCGGATCGCGCAATATCGCATTCGACGACTGTGTACGGTTCGTAGCGTTTAGGTTTTTAAGTTCGCGTCGCTCAACGAGAGAGAGAGAGAGAGAGAGAGAGAGAGAGAGAGAGAGAGAGAGAGAGAGAGAGAGAGAGAGAGCTTTCAGTCACATTCGTTAGTCGCGTTTAACTTCGTTGACGATATATTTCTGCCAAAGTGAAAATGTATGAAAGTAAAAGGAAGACACTCTAAGACGACGCTCGAATTAACTCGAGGATAAGACACGTAGAACAGTAAGTCTCTCCTCTGGTTCGTTCCTCCTTTCCTTTTCTCCCCTTCTCTTCCCCAACGACGACGACCAATTACATCACATATGTATCACGTACATTAATTGTTAGACTCTGGATGGGTGTGAGGTGCTAAGGATCTCAGCGTCGATTCGTCAGGCCGTACTGTTCTTCCGAAAGGACGCTCCTCGCATTCGAGTCGCGTCGAACATCGAAAAGCGGGCGCGTTGACGATGTAATTTTAGGATTTATCAGTCGGAACCGACTTCCGTGTGGGAGAAAGTAATCGGTGAAATTATGGTCATCGAGAGATTGGATATCCTGGTCGTTGAAGATTAACATGTCCCGTGCGTGTACGCGGTAGGAACAGAAGCGTAACGTTTAATGTTGAAGAAGAGCCTCTGTGCTTTTTTTTCCCCGGTCATATCAGCCGCTAATCGCAGCCCCGCAAGCCCCGAGTAATCGGGAAACGTATATTGAGTAAAAAAATATCCGACGGGAGAGTTACTTATGCAACTTTCAACCTTACGGTTTATTCACAAGACTGAAAATCGTGTGATTTTCCGTCTAGTGGAAAGTGGTATCGTATAAGTGACGCCGATTGCACACGTTTGCCGAATTGCAACAACGAAAGTTCGCAATCGCCGTTCGTTCCTCGTCCGTTCGCTCAGCGTATATTCTGATAAGAGAGAGAAACTTAAGAATGTGGACACACATACACGTGCGCGCGCGTTCACCGTGACTGGGCTGTACACGTGTTGCACGCACGTATATGCGAAGTCCAGCGTGTGCGGAACAACGCGATCGAACGGAACGATCGTTCAGTGCGAGCGAGTGCGGCCGGAGCGAAGTCCAAGTAAGGTAGATGCGAGCTAGACTCAAGCTAGATTTTATACTTTTTCTAAAGGTAGAATAAGACATTGCACAGCGCATTATCGAGAGACGACGGACAGGCTGCGACGCAGGAGAGGAGGGACCGAGTTGCGTCAGTCGTCGTCCTCTTTCTCTCTCATCCGCGCGTGATGATTAAACGACGCTAGATAAAACCGGAGCCACGTATTCCGGATCCGCTTATTCCGCGTAACGATTGGAGAACGTACGCTCGCCGTTTCGCCGGCCACATTTCTTCGCCCCGCCGGATAATACCGAGTATAAACTGGTGCGAACTGGCGGCGCGTATCCCTCTCTCTCGTCACGAGTTCTCGGAGAAAAGAGCTCGCGTGTTAAGCCCGTATCAGACTAGGTGGAGGAGGTGGAGGATTGCGGATTGAAGATTGGAAGTCGGCTGAGCGGGGACGAAGCGAGATCGAAATCGGTCGATTCGTCTCCCAGTCTCGTTGCCCCCCCCCCCCCTTATTCCATAATTTCTGTAACGAAAATTCCGTTATCGTTGGACACATCGTTGCGCAATGATTTAACGTTGTAAGAGCACCGATCTTGAATCCGCGATCTCCAATCTCCGGTATCTAGTCAGACACGCGACCGTTTCGTTGACCGGCGTAATCAATTAACGCGCGGAACGGCGCATTTTCGCGATTAAATCATAAAAATCCGCAGAAATTCGAGAGGGGAAATCCGGCCTCGGGAGATTTTTTTTATTTTTCCGGCACTTTTTTTTTTTTTGCGATGGCTCAAGTGAATCCTATTAAACGGAGGAAAGCAATTTCGCTTTTTGAGCGAAAAAAGCTGAAAACGCACGAGTGAGATTGTAGTATATTGTAGTTTAGTGGGAAATCCGTTGTATATAGAACGTTTATCGATCGATCGTTGTCTTGGCTCCGCCGCTCGGCTTCCGGAAACGGCTCTCAAACGTATGACGCGGCGAGTTTTATTCATCGAGTTTCACCAAGAATTCTCTCTTCGTTCCTCCGACAGCATCTCGTACGAGAGAGAGAGAGAGAGAGAGAGAGAGAGAGAAATGAAAAGCAAAAAAGAAGAAAGAAAGAGAGAGAGGGAAAAGCAACCGGCAAGAGCGAAATAAGTGTAAATTATGACCAAGCCGAGTCTATCGCTATCGGACACACACCGCCGCAACGTCATATCTGTTGAAAGTACACGAGGAAGGAAGAAAAAAAAGTACGCGCATGTACATACATGAGATATATATGTGTAAATATACGCAAAATACGTGTACGCGCGTCGCGCGTGCACAGACACAGTCCTACAATGTGCCCTTAAAGCCTAATCTCCCTTCCCCCTTCCGCGCAAAAGAAGTGCCCCCCCCCCAAAAAAAAGACAGAGGAAGAAAAGGAAAAATTGTAAAAAACAGACAGAAGCTATTCTACGTTTTGTATGAGTACTTAGTTTTTACCTCGTTATACGTTGCTACTACTATTACTACCACTACTACTATTATTACCGTGTAGGTGTGTGTAAAAAATGCAACGCGCGAGATAGCGGGAGTAAACGACTAAAACTGGTTTGCCCCCGTTACTGTAAACCGACTACGAAACGCAGCGCGGAAATAAACATCGTTTCTAAATTACCTGTGCGTTTTTCTCTCCCTTTGGAGCGCTACGCGAGAGAGGAAGGATGAGTAAGAGAGAGAAAGAGAGAAAGAGAGAGAGAGAGAGAGCGGTCAAACATTAGATTTTATACGTAGAATTAATTTATACAGTAATGCAACTCCGTTTTATTTCTGCAATCGTCGAGTAAACAAACGTCGAGAACATATTATAACGTTTACCGACGATCGTCGTGACGTCGTTCCGTCAGATCGTTCGAATACCCCAAGAAGAACCCTCGAACGTCTCTCATGAGAGAGTGCGCAAAAAATTGTGCGTTAAATTTAAGACAAAATTTTTCACATTTACGCGGTAAAAAATTGTGCGTTAAATTTAAGACAAAATTTTTCACATGTCCCACGGTCTGCACAAGTTTTTGCGTTAATTTAACACAAGCTGAATATGTTGAAAAGTGACACAAATATTATACAAAAAATTAACACAAAATCGATATATCCATAATATATTGATCGACTCTCTAAAGTATAAAATGTATTATTTTAATACTTACAGATGTTTCGAATATCGACTCAATGCAAAATATTGAGTTAACATGAACAGATTGCCTTAAATTAATAGGGTTAATTAATTAATTTTTGAGATAAATTTATAAATTAATAAATTAATAAATTAAACAGGTGTGTTAAAAATTTTAAACATAAATTTGGAAGACCGATTTTAATACAGGTATAAAATATTTTTTACCGTGTAGAGAGAGGGAGAAAGAAAAAAAGTCATCTTTCTCTCTCTCTCTTTCTGTCTCTCCTCGAAGAAGTCTCGCATCTCGCTCGGCAACAAATAACGATAGGAGACTGAGCAGCGCGCGATATCACGTTTGCATATCGCCGTTATTTTTCACAGTGTAACCTCTGATGCCGAGGCGTATCTCGGAGAGCCGGCGATTAAAAGTGTTTTTTTATAAGCGTGTCATTGATATGTGTGCGTGCGCCCGAGCGCCGATGACGCAACGGGGCGTTACGAGCGCGCAACGGATAATAATAATCGACGTGTAGGGGAGCCCGGGAAAATACGCGCGCGCTCGGCTGATTTTTATTGTTTTTTTTTTTATTGTATTCTCCCGTCAATCGACGACCGTGGCTCGCAAACGAGGTGTTAATGTCTCTATTTGTATTTCTGATTTTCCTCTGGCGCGTAATATCGCGGTAATTTATCTCAAAAAAAGCCCATGAATACAAAATGTAATTTGAATTCGCCGTTTTTCCTTCTTTTTCTCTCTTTTTTTTTTTCAATATTTCGGCTCTCTTCGGCGAGCTCTCGTCGGCGGTCTCGCGAGAGCTCCGATAAACGAGATCTCTCTCTCCTCTCTTTTCTTTCTTTTTCCTCTTTTGACCCCTGGGTTCTCTTCAAATACATACACACACGCGGGCGCACGAATTAACACGTGTTCCCGCGAAGTGAAGGAACATGGAAGGCGACTCGAGGGTCCCATGGCGCGCGTAATCGAAGAAGGACCCTCGATTCCAGCCCTTTGAGGCCCCCAGAGACACGACGATCGCCCCAGAGAGACGACTTGGTCGAGACTTCGGCGCTGTCGATTTTGCTGGAAACATCCAAATATTTTCATTAGAGGCCCGTTGTGCGCGGTATATACAGGCCCCTTTTCGAGGGAGTCGATCGGGGCCGATCGGTTCAACCTTTCACGCCGTATCCTCTACCGAGCGATATCCTCTTCCTCCGCCGAAGGATCCTGCCTGGCGATCCTGCTGCCGCTGTATAAAGAGCTGGATTACACGGTGTCCATTTCAGGCCGCAACAAGGAACTGGGGTGTTTGCGGTAAGTCTTCTCTTCTTCCTCCGTTCTCTCCCTCTTTCTCTCTTTATACCTCGTTCCCGTTCTCTTTCTCTCGGTACCAGTCCTCCGGGCGTATACGAGCCGGTAGGGGCATTATCTTCGCTGTTTTGCCGATTCAATTGTGTGTGCGGAGAAAGGCGGCGTTTAACAAGAGTTTAATAAAAGGCAAACAGCGCGGGGTCGTCCGTTTCTCTCCTCGTCGTCCTCGTTTCTTCCGCCCCTGCGCGCGAGACCCTTCTCTCTTATTCCCCTCCTCCCCTTCTCCCTCCCCCCCTCTCTCTCTCTCTCTCTTTCTTTCTGTTTCTCTTCTCCGTTCAGTTCTCTATTTCGTTCCCTTTCCCACCCTCGTCGCCGCCGTCGTTCTTCCTCGAAGGGATTACGGGAAAGCCGGCCCTGTCGGCCCTGCCGAAGAAAAGAGGGAACACGCGAAAGGAAAGAGATTCGAAAAAAGGATCACAGCTGCCACGCACCGATGGCCCCACCAAAAAGTACTGATTCCTCTCTTTTCCATTCGCATTTCTGTTTTCGCCGATCCGCGCGCGGCTGGACGGCCGATAGAGCGTGTACACGCTGAAGAAGAGGACGGAGAGCGCGCTCGGCGCGATGGACGGACAAGCGAGCGTACCTTTTCGATCTCGTCGTGACGGTTTCGGAAAACTCATTGATCGAGATTGAAGAGCTCAGCGCTCCCCGCGAACTGTCTTACATGGAAACCGCGCTCGTGCGGGCGTCCCTCGGATTATTTCGGATTTGGACTTTGCATGCGTGTAAAGTGAGTACACGGGGGAAAAAGTGCCGTTAAATCGCTATAGTGTGTATCGCTATAGTATATTCAATAGTGTTTAATTAACTTTATTTTTATGTAAAAAATGTTCAATTGATTTTTTTCCAAAATATAAGTAACAAATTTAAAAAATCCTTTTCTTTACTCTGAACACTTCCTATGTTCATAATTTGACAATTCTGTTCTTCCAAATCTTAAACGTGCGAGAAAATGTTTTTCCCATTTTTATACGAAAAAAAGTGCTATTGGATATCGAGTCAAGGATTTTTTTAATTTGTCACTTATATTTTGAAAAAAAATTAATTGAACATTTTTTACATAAAAATAAAAATAATTAAACACTATTGAACATAAAAAAAATGAATATTATACACTTTTTTACATAAAAATATGATTTAATATTTTTTTTGTATGATAATTTTGAAAACAATTGTTTTGTAAAGGAATTTTTGCAATAAATAATATATCTAATTCTGCAGTATTTCCATATGTAAACAAATTTGTTTGATTTTCATGTTAAAACTAATTTCAACTTTATTAAAATTCATCTTGATTAATTTGAACTTAAAATATAAAAATATATAGTACTACATCAGTCAGCTATAAATAAAAAAAAAAAAATCGTAATGTTACGTCAACTTTAACTTTGCAGTGAAAATTTTGAAATTCGTAAATATAATAATGAGGGTTGAGGATATGTTGAAATACATGATAATTCCGGTATAAATCTAAGTATATAAAACTATGAAGTACATTAAATGCCATGGAATTTCTTTTCGAGCTTCTCTTTAAACTGATATAGCATGTCGCAGTTTAGGCCGAGTTCGGCATTGAAGAGAAAGTATTATGCGCGATAATTGAGCAAACATTCGTCTCTAACGGATCTGAATGGATCTGGAGCATGGGACGATCCGAGAAACTCGATCTTCAAAAAACGGAAGCCCCTCTGAGTAAACACTTACATCGAGCTTGCTTGAAGAGCTAATAATCTAAACAATGAATACTAATTCTCAATAATTACTTAGACATAGCTATTTTACTAGTATTAATTTTCCAATGATCTTAATAGTGTGTACGGTAAAAAATTTTATGTAAATAACGAAAAATTTCGTGTTACTTTAACATGGGAATATGTGAATGAGACATGTGTTTTATTTCATTTCCCGTAAGAAGATATTTTTTTAATCTGAGACTAAATACATCACATATAATCTGAGCCTAATAATACAACGTTTAAAGTGAATTTCAGTTTTTCCAACAGATGCGAAAAATAAAAATAAAAAAATTGTAGTAAAAAATATAGTTGTCTTATTTTCGCACCTTTCTCATACTATTAATTCACAAGATTTAAAATACAACCTACATTTCTTCAACTGTAGCTAAATAATTTTTTTACCGTCATCTCCCGTTTCAACGCATAAACAGAAGAGATGAGAATTCGAGAGGGACAGAATTGACGACGCGGAAATTTGTCGGAACCAGCGGTTATCAATCGAAGAACGTGTCCGAGGCGCTTCAAAGAATCCCTCCCCCCCGAAACCAGTTCCTCCTCCTCTCGTTCGAAACGATCGATCGATCGTTAAACCGCGAAATCCGCCCTTTCTCATTTTTCCTATTTTTTTGCCGCCGCGCTCGGCAGGAGAGCGAGCGGACTAAGTAAGTCAGTAACCCAGTGGAAACTCGCCCGGGGCAGTCATCTCTCTTCCCCTTGACGCCCCCTGCTGCCTGCTGCTCCCCCCTCCTCCCCCC